ATAAAAAGTCACAAACACATGTTTATTTACTACAGGTGTGCAGCCACATGAAAAAAACATACACTACACATCATTGTGATTCAATTCAGTTTATTTATGTAGCACCAAATCACGACAAGTGTCGTCTCAAGGCCCTTCACAAAGTAAACATTACTAAATTATTCCTCGCTCATACGCAAACTTTTCCAAAACCTAGAGACCAAACATGGCTTTGCAGTTAACAAACGTGGTGGTGGAGGAGCGTGCAATGTGCTACATGTTACAGTTTAGCAATGTGCTACGTGTTGGATCGTCTTGATCCAACACGTTCAGTATCCCCAATCTATGATCGGCGCAGTCCTGATGTCCTTCTGAGCAGACCAGAGCGCTCTTAACACACCATACACAGCAGGATTATCTGATAAGATTATCTTTAGAGCCATTATTACAATAGCATTAGAAAGCTTTTTTTGAACTGTAGGCTAGACCTTTAGCATTGATCTCGGTGATTGTTGAGTTAGAAACTTGAGCAGTTTCATATTTGACACCACTTTGCAGCCCTCTGCTGACCAGAAACCACACCTGGTAGTTTTGTGGCATGAGTAAGTGTCCTAGAGGGCACACTTTACCTGCTTTAAGGCTGTTAGCCGTAATGCTAGCACTTAGTATTTTCAGTTTGTCGATTATCCTCAAAAAGCACAAGAAGACATGATGGCGGAGGCTGAAAGAAAAAATAAGAGTTTTGTCTTTGGAGATGAAGCAAAGAGCTGAAACCAGAGTGAACATCGACATGGCCTACAGTAGCTTGAGAGAGCTAAAGGAGGCTAAAAAATCATGGACTGATGGTGACCTGGCTTTGTTGCTACTGGACTTGTAAGTAATAATATTTTTGTTCAACAGTGTGGATCTTTTTACTTTGTGGTATATTTTACTATTAGCTGGCTCGGTCAACCAGTAGGGCAGAAGAGAAAGAAACTGTCTAGTGTTACTTTAAGAATGTCAAAATGGGAGAATGGGGTCAAAAATGGACATAATTGCCTTGCTTTGTGAACAGAGCCTTTAGAAGAAGCTTGTTTTGACCACTTGCACCTGTGACCTGGCCCCAGTGGCTGGAGAAAGGGAAGTCTGGGCCTCGGCTTAGGCTACTGCCCTGCGACCAGACCCCAGATAAGTGGATGAAAATGGATGGATGGCATCTGGGATCTCCTACTTTTGGTCATGTTCCACATCTCATAAGTGAGAATGTAGACGGGCCAGAAAGTTTAGCCTTTTTCATCCCCAAAAATCAGAGAAACTCCTCATTTACTGAAGGATGCACCATTTACAGATTTATGTCCCACTTTATCCCAACACAAGACACCAAGAACTCCGCCACTTGTGACAAAAACTCATTCCCAATAATAATGATAACAGCAACAATAACAGACACAGGCAATTACACTGTCACCTGCCTTTTGCCTTTTGGCAGCAGGCAATGTAGAGTGTTGTCTTGCAGCCCCAGGCTGAAAAAACAGCGATCTGTAGGGTCATTAAGAGGTGATAATGTCTTGTTTTATTCATTTCCAGGCTTCAGAGTTGATCCAGCAGATCAATTTTACATTAAAGCAACTGCTGAAAGAAATATGTGCTGACTTCTGTGTGCTTGCATATTGATGGGTCACAGCAACGAAATGAGCTTGGGCTTAAGTTTAGAAAATAACTTCCTTTGGAGACTAAATTAAGCTAATTTACGGTTTGTAAAGGATGAAACCTGCCAGGGGCGTGTCCAGGGAGTGGCCTGGGGTAGCAAATGCCACCCTTGGAATGTGATTGGCCACCCCAGGTGCCACCACACTGAATTCCCTTTAAATAGGGGTTTCATTGTCCACAAAAGGCTTGGGGTAAAAAAATAAAGCATAACCATTGGTGCCACCCATGCACAAAGTATAGCCTCACCTGGGCCACCCCATTTTAAAAGATCTGGACATGCCACTGAAACCTGCATTTATTGGATGGGATCCGATTGCGCTATGGAATAAGATGCCTTCACTTACAAGAAAGGTCAAGTTAAAATTATAAATGGATCATTAAAACAGATAGGTGAAGGTAAAAGGCTGGAAAAATAGTTTATTTCAATCTCATCCTAGAATAACAGCCAATGAAAAAGCCTCAAATATTGAATTTGGAATCAACTGGCCATATTTATTTTCAGGTTAGAGTTTGTTTGTTTAAAGCTTTTAAGTGAAAGACCAAATCTAACACAGCTAATTAAGATCTGATGATCAATCAGTTTAAATCATTGCCATATTTTATTTATTTTTAATAAAAAATATTTAAATGTACATTTACGAGCGCTATCTGGCTGCACGCAAATTTAAATCCAGACGAAATGTACGTTTTCCACAGCTTTGTTTGACATGTCACTTTAAAATGAGAATTGCATGCAAGTGTGTAAAAATGCTCTCCGGGGAGCAGCAAACATCAGAGAGGCTGACAGAAAAATAGGTTAATCAATATATGCTGTCAATAACCTTGTTTTCAAATGTCAGGAAACTAAATGTAGATGCGAGTCCGTGCAACGGGCTTGTTCTTAAGAAAAAACACATTTGTACTCGACGTGTTCAAACTGAACTGATGTGACAATTGCAACAATGACCAGAAAAGCTAATGTAACATTTGGTTTTAGAGACTTCATGATGTTTTTGTTTGAAGTTGTAGGGTTTAAAAACGACATATTTGAAAACAAGACAAAGATATTCAGCTGCTTCATACTTATTATTGCATTGGGATATTTTAATGGTTTTGACCCAATCACAGTTTAAATTTTATGAATTTTTAAAAACATTTGATTTTATCCCCAAATAATTTCATTTACAGTGTGCGGTCATCTTGTAACTTTGTAAATTTAGAAAAAATGTTTCAAACTTTTTCAACGTTTTGTCAAAGGCTCACTAATTAATTTACTTTTGTGTCCTTGGTCACCTTACTTGTTACCATGGGGACCCTGATGAGCCAGTGGAAACAGCTTTAACATTTTGATCTTGTTTTCATTACGCTTCTTCTTCAGATCATAATACAAAATGTAAGACTTTTGTTTTAACTTAAATTATTACACTGATGATCAGAATTTCTTCAGAAATGTTCATTTTTATTTCGTTTCTTGCATACATAACACAAGCTAATATGCTGACTGCAATTAACAAGACCAAACCTAAAACGTGTCAGACTCTGAATATTTTATCCAGCATTTAATTTAGTCTAAAACAATGAGTTGACTGTATTAACTCCCCTGTAGTCCCCATTTATTTGACTATGATGTGCACTTCTGTCATTAAACCACCTCAACTGTCCCTCAACTATCTAGAATTTCCTCTTTTTCTTAAAACAGTAATGAGGTTCATGTATAATTTAATTAATCTACATGACTTTGTGCCAAGGCCTCACTTATAAAGTTATTTATAATGTAAAAATGTCAGGGATGAAATGAAGAAATCCCCTCTGAGTAACTGCAGTGGCTCTGGGAACTCGGTGTACAGCACGCTCACTAATGGAGGTCTGGCTGCTCGCCCGGATCGATCATAAGGCTATAATGCCGAAGAAGTTCTGATTTCAACAAATCACGAGCTGTCCTTTAGCTTATGCTCTGGCTGGGATGGACAGTCCTTTGCATCTGGATGCAGAGCAGACTCTCCATCATGGTGGTGATAGAGGAGCAGGTGTGACAAACAGAACCCCAAACTGTCAGGGAACAGTAAACCAAATGAAAGAGATAAATCTGAGCATCCTTCAGGCTGAGAGAAGGCTGCATGTTGATGACTTTGATGGATGACTGATTCGATATGCATCACATCTTATGATGGATCATAGCGAGATTCAATGGGACAGTGACCAAGCCAAAAGGCTTTCTGAGAGACGTGATGGGAGGGAACATGCTGATGCAGCTTTAGCATTTTAACCAGTTTATTTGGAGCAGGGGTCTTTAGCTAGATTTAAGGGTCAGAGTTTTTTTCTCCCTGGCAGACACTTATGGCCAGAAGCTCTAAAATTTTTATGTCTCAGTGTTAGACTTAGCATTTTTTGTATTTATTCTACCAACTCAAGCCACTAGGGGGACTGGCAGGCTTCAATTTAAGCATTTGACTAAAAGCCTTTTCCTGCAACCTTACTTGCTTTAACAATGCACTTTAGTGTAAAGCACTGGAGAGATTTTTAGGGTGGCAGAATTTGAGCGGAGTTTTAATTTCTGGATTAACTCATACTAGGGATTTGTCACCCTTTTAGATCAGTTTGCACTTCTCAGTCTAGGATTTTAGCTTAATAGCATTTTTTTCCATGTTCCCATTTATTAACATTAGAAACCTTTTGTTTTAGATCTAGCCATTCAACACATTTGCTGTATGGTTTGAAATATGTGAATGCATTTAGGATTTTATGTTCCAGGAACTGTGTTTAACGAAACCCTGAAGTTGAAACCCTGAAGTTGTTGAAACCCTGAAGTTGTTGAAACCCTGAAGTTGTTGAAACCCTGAAGTTGTTGAAACCCTGAAGTTGTTGAAACCCTGAAGTTGTTGAAACCCTGAAGTTGTTGAAACCCTGAAGTTGTTGAAACCCTGAAGTTGTTGAAACCCTGAAGTTGTTGAAACCCTGAAGTTGTTGAAACCCTGAAGTTGTTGAAACCCTGAAGTTGTTGAAACCCTGAAGTTGTTGAAACCCTGAAGTTGTTGAAACCCTGAAGTTGTTGAAACCCTGAAGTTGTTGAAACCCTGAAGTTGTTGAAACCCTGAAGTTGTTGAAACCCTGAAGTTGTTGAAACCCTGAAGTTGTTGAAACCCTGAAGTTGTTGAAACCCTGAAGTTGTTGAAACCCTGAAGTTGTTGAAACCCTGAAGTTGTTGAAACCCTGAAGTTGTTGAAACCCTGAAGTTGTTGAAACCCTGAAGTTGTTGAAACCCTGAAGTTGTTGAAACCCTGAAGTTGTTGAAACCCTGAAGTTGTTGAAACCCTGAAGTTGTTGAAGTTTGAATAAGTCCAGTGCAACAGAAGTTATTTTTAAGAAACATTTATTGAAATCATTGAGTCAATACAATTGGCCCAGTGGAGATCAGCTCTTGAGTTGTGGTGCTTCTTTGGGCTGCAAGAGAAGAGAAAGAGGTTATATGCTTCTCTTTCAACAGGAATATTTGAGGATTATTAGTTTACCTCTTTTCATTCCTTTATCAGTAGGTTTGACTGCAGTAGGATTAGCACACTGGCCTTGGCAGATTCCTTCAGTAGGGTTAGTATTGTCACAGATGACGACGTTACAGTGGACGTAGATCTGTGGATGGAGAGAGGTTTTACAGACTGTAGTAGTGGGTGTTCAGCCAGCATACAGAGCCAGGCATTACCTCATGTTGCAGAACCTTCTTGTCTTCAATGAAGGTAAACATCTTCATGGAGAAGCGTTTGAAGTGAGAGGGGACTGCGATTCTTGTATCCATGGCAACAGGGTGGAAGATGGTAGTGTAGCCATCATCGGCGTTCTCACATCTGTTGGGTAAATTGTTCCAGAGTTAATCTTATATATAGATGTGCAGAAGCTACTTTAACAGCAGCTGCCTTACCCGTTCACAATGATGTCCCAGCTGGGCAGAGAGGTCCTGTCTTCCTCAAGGTTAGCCCAACAGGTCTCCAAGATCAGCTCCAGGTGAGAGTCAGCTGACTGCATAAGCTCCACTTCAAAGTAGAGTGGCTGCCTCAGGTATTGGTGCACTGGGTAGTCTTCAGCTTCATAGAAGTGGTTGTAGGAAGAGTCTAGAGAAAGACTCATGTTTAAGCAGAAGCTCATTCATAAAGATAAATATTTAAGTCATTTGAGTATTACCTGATGCAAGCCTCATTTGAACGATCATGTGCCCTGAGCCGATCTCAGCTTTTGGCTCATACTTTCGTGGTTTGGCGTCAAAGGAAAGGGTTTTGGTGTCGTTGACCAGGTAGTAGCAGGAGATGGTTTGTCTGAGGAGCACAGCTTTTAGTCAGATCAGTTCAATAGAAAAATAAAGCTTTATTATGTACCTGTAGTCAGGTTCAACTGGTGAAGCATGGGCCACTCTTTTCTCACCACCATGATACAGGCCGATCTCATTCTCGTACAGCATGTAGTTGCCAAAGAACTGGAAGACAAGGAAGTTAATGCAAAAGTTTCAGGTTGTGACTTAAATGAGTGACTGAACTTACTGTTCTGGTGGTTCCACATGAGTCAGCAGCAAAGGTAAAGTCAGCAAAACGCTTGTTGCTGGAGACTGGTTTGCAAGACTGATCTCTCAGAGTGAGCCAGTTGGGGTTGAGGTTTGGTACGGATTCAACCTTCACAGCCAAGGCGGAGATGGTTCCATTGGAGTGGCATCCTGGACAGGTGGAGTGTTCAATACCAAGTCAACTCAAGTGCAGAGTTTATTACAATTGTGCATCTTACTAGTAGTTGTCAAGGGGAAGTAGCAAGTCAGGTAGAAGTCATTTAGCATCCAGTGGTTCTTTGCGTCCCAGAGCAGCAGGTTGAGTCGGGCTCTGATAGATGCAGTGTCAAACACCTGGAGGAGGTTTTAAGTTATTTAGTATCAAATTTCTTTGGAGTTTCAATGAACTTACCTCAAAAGCTGTGTCTTCAGCAGCATAAGGGACTTGAAGGGTGAAGTGAGTTCCATTGTCGTGGTAATGGTAAGCATCAGCCAGATCTGACGTCAGTTCCCTTTGTCCAACCAGGGTGTTGAAGCTGTTGCCTTGGCTGCCGTATGTTACTGTGACGTAGAACTGATCCTGGTCGCAGGTTCCATCTAGTGTTGGTAGCACTGAAGGGAAGAATGAAGGGTTAGGAGGCATTAAATAAAAGTGCCAATCCCAGAGATTCTTCAAGTCTTACCAACATCCTTCAGAGAGGCCTCTAGCTGCACTGGATGGGCAAAGGGGATCTCCTCAGGCAGGACGACAAATCCAAACACCACAGCGAGCGAGTAAGTTGTGATCAAGGGCTCAGGATTCTGCAAACAAAATTGCATTAATAGAGAGCTTTCAAATGCATTTATGCATGTCACACCCCACACATACGTTCTTCAGGACAGCCTCAGCATCAAAGGAGACTTGGAGAGAGAAGACACTTGTTCCATTGGGAAGGACATGCTGCTGAACCATCAAGCCTCTGGCAATGCTTTCTTCAACTGTGAAGACTCCATTAGGGTAAGTGATGTTCCTCAGCTCCACATCTTGAAGAAATGTTCCTACGTAAACAGTGAAGGATCTCTCCTCTGGGACAGTACCTGTGGACACATTAAGAGTCATCTTTAGCTTGAACACCAAGTCTTCTAGAAGGTACAGGATAGGACTTACGGTCATCGGTGTAAGGAGGGCGAGCCATTGGTGGGGTTGTGATGGGGAACAAGATCTTGTATCTGGTGTCATCTTGAGTGGCATCAGCTCTCCAGAGCATCTCAAGCATGGGCTCGATGGTGTAGGTTATGTGGTATTGGTAGTTTGGAGCATGACTCTGCAATTCACATGTTATTTAACACAATTGAAAGCCCTTGTTACAATTTTAAGGCTTTGCACCAACCTTGTAGTAGCCATCAGGTGAGCCAATTGGGATCTCAACAACAATATGGAAGTCAGTGGTTGACAGAGTGTATTTCCTTGCAGCCATCTGAGCCTTATCCAGCCTTTGTCCATTGATGCCCATGTACATTTCTACCATTTTAGATTTGCCCTCCAGCAGAGGGGTCACACGACGAGGCACGTGCCAAGCAATGTGCTCGTCAGTGAACAGGACACCGCCTGTAAAAAGTGAGTTTTAATTTAATGATTCAGTCCTTTGTCATTCAGATCTGGCCCAACTTACCTGTTGGGCAAGCTGCCACCAAGTTTACGATGTTTATTCCATTCTGTTCCTTCTGGTAAACGCTCACTTTGAGGACCTCCATGGGGACTCCAGCAACCTGATAGTATTTAAGTGTCATTTGTGATGTAAGAAAAAAGTATTTTTAAGGTGCTACTTACATCCTCATGGTAGGTTTCTGATGTATGGTAAGGGCTTCGTACAACAAGACGTGTTGGGGTAGTCATAGCACTGTAGCCTGCTTGTTCGACCTCCTTCAGAACCATGGACACGGCTTCAGGGGTGTAGAAGGTCATTTTCCAGATTCCATGTTCTTCTCCAGAAGCCTAAGGGAATTAAATCTTTTGTGTTAAATCCCTCCTCTATGTATATAATATTTAAGTGTGGATTTAATACATACACCAGGAATAGTGTTAATCTTGGAGTCATCTGTTTCCTGGCCCTTGGCTTCAGCTTGTTTGGTAGTCAGATAAGTAGACACCTAGAAAGGGAACATTTATTAGACTCCTAAATCTTGCCTTCACCCAAAGTAAGTTCTAGACTTTAGACTCACTTCCATGTAGTTCCTGTCACAGAGGATCTCTTTAGGGGCCCAGCGGGTGTAGCTGCATGTCTGGGACACATCATGACTGATCACATCAGCTGGACTACGGAAGATCTTCAGTTTCAAGCCGACATTGAAGGTCACATCATCCTGAAGAGACACATTCTTAGTTGACTAGGTCCCCAGGAAGCTACTCAGAATAAATCACTTTAGAGGGAGCTTAAGCTTGCCTTGCTGTCCACATAGCATCCCAACAGAGAAGTGTAAATTCTGGTGTTGCCCCATGGGTCAGACTCCATGCTGTATCCACACCGAGCTGCCAGACTGGGTGTAACCATAACCTGTTTAGTGCCATCTGGAGGACAAATGCAGGTTAGCACTACTGGTAATGTTAAGCAGAGTGTAAAACATGGTGGGACCTGCTGCTTACTAATTGCATCAACTTCGAGCTGGTTTCCAACGGCAAGAGCCTCATCCAAGGAAATCCTCATCAAGTTAGCCAGACAATCAACCTTCAAATTACTGCCTGTTGGACACAGAGCTGGTTAGACCTGGTTTTAACTAGACAAGAAGAAATTAATGTAAATTTTTCTTACTTGGCTGAGAACTGAGCTTTGCATTTGGCCAAGTTTGACCCAAGACAAAGGCTGCTGCCATCAGGTTCCATAACACACTAGAACAAAGGGCAATGAAGTTAAAAATTACATTTAAAACATATGAAAATAAAATCAAGAGCAGGAACTTACATCATTTCAGGCTTCCTCATGTTGCAATCCAAAGGGAACCACGCAAGTGGAAGAAAGCACCCAATCACCACCAGAGCTCAGCTTCGTACTGCACTGCCTTCACAGCCAAAGGAGCTCTGAAGGGAAAGGAGCTGATGTCTTTCTGGAGACACACCACCTGTTTTATACGTCTGCTAATCACACTCACGCAGGGCTGCTAATCACAGGTGATTCCGAACACCTGTAGTCATACGTCTGCTAATCACACTGACGCAGGGCTGCTAATCACCTGTGATTCCGAACACCTGTAGTTATTTAGGTGAGTTTAGACTCTAGTTAACAAGGTTTCTGTTCTTTTTATCGCTATATTTACTTTTTGTTGATGTTTTTAGCTTCTGTCTAGTCCATTTGATTTTTATCTTTGTGCATCTGAGAGATTTCTCACCGTTACTTCAAACTGGCTTCTAGTTAGTTTGTTTTATTGCCAAAAACACCCTGCCTAAGACATAAAAAACGATGCAGCTGATTAGGCCGCTCGTTCATTCAGATTATATTTATAATCAATTGATGGGATGATCTAGAAATATCTCATTAAACATCAGAAAAAGTATTTTATTTTTTAACTTAAATTTTGTTCATTGTGAATAAAAATTGTTGTGGTTTGCTTTAGCCCAATGGGGGAGAAAAAGAGTAATTTGTGGTCAATTTTTAGTTTTATTCTGAGCAAACATTTCAGAGTTAAATGTACAAAGTGGTTGTAAATTTCCCTGATTTCATGCATTGCAGTGAGTCGTAATATTTTCAGAAAGCATTCAAAAAAGTGAGATAGAAGTTAAAATATACTACGACTACCAAACTGGTGTCTGAATTTATATGGGGCAAATCAATAATAACAGCTACTATAAACACTAATTGGGATAAAAATTAATAGATTCAATATTTTTTTGAAAATGAACACACAAAACCCACAAATCAAAGAATTACAGGTAGAATAATCAGTGCAAAAAGTGCTTAACATTCCAGATTATTAATACTTGTACAATTCATTCATCTTTATTCATCTGTTTCTACAGAGTGTTTACATTTGAAATGTTCTCAGTCTCGATTCATAAGAATATTTGCATCATCCAAAGGTTTCTCCTTGATTTTGAGCCTGGACAGAGCACCAGATGGCCCTGGTTATGTGCTGAAGATGCTGATGTTTGACTCCATCAGTATCCTCGATCCATCTTGTGCTGCTGGTCCAGAATTGTCTGTTGCAGGCTCACTTTAGCATCCTCAAAATCTGGCCTGAGCTTCAGCGCTTGCTGAAAGTCACTCTTGGCATCATCAAAAAAGCCTGTAAGGTAACATAAACACGTGTGAGTACAAAGTCAATCTAACAATGTGATTTATGGTGTGAGAACAAGTGGCTTCCTCGGAGCACCAAAGCTGGTAAGAGTTTAATTGCAAACGCAGAGCTCCATCTAGTGTCTTACACACCACATAAACTAAACTTCTAAAAGACAAAGACAAAATAGAGAAGACACAAGCAAGAGCTGCCATTGTTTACTTTTATTCAACTTTTGCACATGACATTAATTAGTCGTTTTATAATAAATTCCCTTTAAAACGTCACTTTTATTTTGAAAGTGATAGGCGGAAGTAGTTAATTCTGCCCGCGTAGAGCAGTATCTATCGTATTTTCTTTGTCAAAAGTGCTGTTTCTTACCTAACCTATAGCGGATGAGTCCTCTGTTGTAGAAAGGGACTGCAAACTGGCTGTCAGCCTTTATCGCGGACGTGTAATCCTCCATTGCTTCGTAAAAATCCACCCGGAAGTACTTTATCTGTCCGCGGTTGTTGTAAGCAGCTGCCAACTTGCTAGCTTCACACTCCCTACAAAATAATAATTAAAAAAACAACCCAAAAATAGTTCATTTGTTTACGTAACAGTAAATACGTACTGTGTAAAATATAATACTCAACTTAATAGGTAACAAAATGCAGCTAAACGCTACAAACACCAACAGCTAGCTAATTTAACCCCAATCGAAAGAGAAATTGCACCTGGGCTGCAAACAGGAAGAGATAAACTTTGTGTACAGCTCCTCTGCTCGATCATAACTGCGTTTGATGAATTCAGAGTTAGCATCTTCGAGTATTTTATCATTTTCTTCCTCCATGAGGGTTTGTTGTGGTTTCCAACAGCGGATGTGACGTCATTAACCAGATACCCAATAAAATGTTAGTGCGTCAAAGCTGGGTGGGACTTAATGGAAACAGATTTTATTCATTCTTTTCATTTACTATATTTTGTCACCCACTTCAACAAATCGTTGAAACATATATTTATTTCAGTAACACAAATTTAAAAATAATATAACAAAGTTTACAATCTTTGTTCACTAAAGAGTGTAAAAACAAAGTGAAATACACAAATACAGGCAGCCATAAAAGAAATCAAACTAAAAAGCAATTAAAAACAGACATTTATGTAACAGAAACATATTAATATGTAACGTGCAAGCAGATTAAAATGTTATTTTTCTTTGCATGCTTCTTCCAATAAATCAAAGTTTATTGACATAATAAATCATCTTGTTCTTATCATTAGAAATATGTTTACCATTTAATTTCAGGGACAAAAAAATATTGTTTTCCCAGTAAAATAGTTTTTTATAGCTATTAAAAAACATAGGTTAAATGCAATCAAAGTAATTTTTGGGACAAAAACATTCTGTATAAAAGATCGTTTTAATTCTTTTGGAAATTAAAATAGTTTCAACAGCAGGAAGCAGATTTCACTTTTTTTTTCAAATAAAGAACTGCAGAAAGAATATATTAACCTAACAAAACTCTATTTTCTTGTTTTTATAAATAAAAAAATCTGTCAACAGCTTACCATTAAAAAATCTATGTTTTTAGTATCAAATACCTGCCATACTAGTTCAGTCTGGACACGCAGATGTCAACTGTCCTTGTGAAAAATGATGTTTTGGAACAAGAGGGACTCAGTGGCGTGTGCTTCCCTTTACTGCCTCATTTGTCTCCAGACTGTGTGGATGAGTAGACTCAGATCAAACAGAGCACATTTGAGAGGAAATAGGTGAGAAACTAGCTGTTGTTGGCAAAATGGAAATTTAACATGCTTCCTGTAATGATCTCTATAATAAACATACTCAAAAGGTTTCACTTCTTTTTCTTTCTTTTTCTTTCTCAATCTGAAGTAAAAGTTTGTTATGTTCAGCAGCTTCAGAGCCTAAATGTTGCTGTTTGCTGAGAGAATTAACACAAAGTGTCCAAGTCCACCGTGGACTGGCAGAGCAGGGACAGACATGCATCCATCTTTCCCCATCGTATGGGAGAGATATTCCTCACTGGCATTTCAGATCTGCCAAATATCTCCATAGTTCAAATAATGTTCAAATATGACGAGCTGGCTGTCGGGTATGGCATCTAAAATGCATCATAAAAAAGAGAAAATTGATCATTAATTTAAGAAAAACGAAAATCTGATTATCACTTGTGCTTTTGTTGCAGTCAGTTCTTTGCTAATATTCTTCCAGCATTGTTTAGAATCAAGGAAAACATTTTTAGACTTTTGTGTGTGTGGGTTAAGCTAATTATTAGTAATATATAACAATAAATGCAGGCATCTGAACAAGGAAGCTTTGTGTGATGCCCTCTGTGTGTCTTTTCCACCTCTCAGAGGTGTGAGCCCCATTCATCGTTTCTGACAGCGCTTGTGTGTGTGTGTGTGTGTGTGGTAACCATGAACTGAAACAGCAAACAAACATAAAACATCTGTCTGTTTAAAAGGAGGAGGGGATCCGAACCAGACCAGAGGTAAACGTTGGGCTGTTGACTCCCGACCTCGCTCAGACGCCTCAGACAGATGCTCTGTTGACTCTGCTGTTCCAGACGAATAATCCTACACATTCCACACGTTACACAATTACTCAACTTTGTTTGTGGGAAAACATTATGACCACAATAACAAGACGTAAATGCAAATGACATTAATTCAGCCGTACATCAAATTACCAGACAAAAACTGTGACTTTTCTATTAAAGAATGAAACAGAAACCTCCTTCTTGACCTCCGATGGAACTGTAACACATTGTTAACAGAATGCCAGACCCCTTCTATGATTTAGTTTTCCATATTGACTTAGACATAAACATATAAATTGACAGTTATATGAAGGAAAGATGGAAACGCTTTTTTTTATATCTGCAGGTTTTTTCCCAAATAGCTGCAAAGACTTGATGCTGTCTTTTATTTTAGTGCTGCTCCACACATTTATGTTAAGTTTTTAAACAATAAATGCATTAAACGTGAATTTTTATTAAGCACTGTGTAAAAGAAAATCTGTTTTTGCATCTTTTTTCTTTTCTGACCTCATTATCTGATCGAGTTTGTCCAATTTCATCACCGAGTTTGTCTTTTAGGGTAGAGGTTCAGAATTTCATCCCATCCTCACATTTTTTAATCGTAATTTTAAATGGTTCCCATTTCTATGTTACTTTTAAATCATTTTAATGTATTTATTGTTCTTGTTAAGCACTTTGTGACTTTTATCTTAAGAGGTGCTTTATAAAAGTTTGGTGTTTCTTCTTCTTCCAAGTTTAAAAAAGGATTGTTTTTAATCTTTATCATCTCTTTCAGATGTACCACCCTGCAGTATTCATGCAGCATTAGGAGATTTAGTTTGGATGCATGGAGGCTTTTTGTGCTTTGGGAAGCACATCTTAATGCAAACTGGTCACACAACTTTTAATCCACACATTATTATGAAATTATAAGTAACAAACATGAAGTTTTTCACTGTTTCATGTAAGAATCTATGAATTTTCAGAATTATGAATAAAATCTGAAACATTTAATGTAGGCATATGAAAGGATTAATTTTTATTGAATGTTTTAAAACTAACCCAAATAAATCAACATATAACTCCTCCATGCATTTCAGAGTTGATGCCTGGGTGATCATGTTTTAGTTTTAGATTTTCACCCAAACTGCACTGGAAGTTAACACAATGATTTGTTGGAAGGCTTTTTCCAATTGTGATGAACTCACAATTAGTCATTTTCACCAAGGTTTTAAAAACACACATATGAAGGATTTGGAAGTTTGTTTTCACCTTTTAAAGTCTCACGCCTCCTTTTAGTTCTGCAGCGCGCGCGCACACAGACACACACACACACACACACACACACACACACAGCAAAGAGAATTAAGCTGGAGCCTGTTGCAGGTTAAAATGTGAACTGCACTCTCTTCTGGAAGCCAATGAAAAGTAGGGTAGACTTTAATTTCCTTTAGAACTGATTTAGTTATGCTTCAAACGTTTATTTTGGGTTATTTGATTAAATTAAAATTCAATAGGAGTTACCAAAAAGTTTAATCTGACTTCTAGGAACACACTTTCCCCATTTTTTACTTTTTTTTAATTAGCAGCAACTAAACCCTCTAATTTAGTGTTTCCTCAAACCAACTGAGCCCAAGATACATTAAAATGTTTATATTTCCCTCTAAACTTAAAATGCTGCTTACAATTTAATACTCTTGCTTTTCAATAGTTTAGAAAAAAATGACCAACTTCTGTCGCAAAATTTTAATCTTATATTTTGCCACATTTACACATTTTTAACATTTCAAACACAAAAGTTTAGGATATTAACATTTTTAACCTTTGACCTAGAATGCAAGTATTTATAATCATAAAAAAATAATATACCACAAGTAAAAACATTAAATGAATACCATAGAACTAGATCTACTATATAAATATTTTTTTAAAAACAAAAACATGCAAAAATAACCAAATCTTTGGTTAAATCGCACAATTTTTCATAGGTTTAGTGTTAAATCAGTAATGATACGTCCAAAAGCCAAAATTAAGCATTTAACGTAAAACTTTTATTAAAGTTTGATTGCGTATTGCAGCTCGGCTCCGCCTGGAAGAAATCTGAACAGTAGTCGTGGGTGAGAGGCAGATGTGGAAGGCTGCTGTTTCTGCGGAAAGTAAACAGGAGTTAGAATTGCACACAGTTGGTGGGAAGCTTCGATTTCCACATGAAGGGAAAAATGTCACCTCTAAAGCTTTAGGCACGGCCCAACACGCTCTCCAGTCGCTCCACTCTCACTGACACGTCGGCTAGTTTGATCAGTCAAAGAAACGGCCTCGAAGAAGGTGAAAAGGTCATAAAACCACAGCTGCTGGGAAACTAGCAGCAGAGTTCATACCAGAGCGTCTCTCATCTGAAACAACTGGAAGGATATGTTTGGCCGTGAGCTGCTGGATGGCTGCCTGGGTCTTTTTCTGGAACACCAGCCGGGCCTCGCATTTACAGGGATCCTCCATAACCTCCACCTTCACCTCTTAAGCCAAGAGAAAGCACATTTCACATCAGCGTAACAGCCCATGCTGAACGCCACCCACGCCGCTTTCCCCCAGACTAAACCCAAAGCTCAAACAAATGGGAGCACATTTTCACAGCAGGTTAAGGAGTACAAACCGTGCAAATGAAATTGGCATTTAGCCATAATTCTATAAAATTACCCAGTTATTGTCCAACAAATGCTGCTGTGAGTTATTCAGGAGTCCGCCAGTTTGATCCTTTCTCAGAATCCCTACTTTTGTTTCACAACATTTTTTTTTTATAAATTTGAGCAGCATCAGTGTCACAGCAAAAAGCTGCAGGAATGTTTCTTACGTTTCGGGGAACACGTTTTCTTGTCCGCATTCAAGATATAACCGTTCCGGCACTTGCAGTAAAAGGAGGCGTTGCTGTTGACACAAATGTGCTCGCAGTCATGTCCCATGGCGCAGGGGTCCACACCTGGAATAAGCCGGGATTAAAGGGATATAGTTTGGATTGTTGAAAACGGAGGTTCTGTGGCGTTATTGGCTGGTTTGTGAGCAATCTCAGTGTAGAGAATCGGAGAGAAGCTAACCGCTAGTCGGTCATGCGTCGTAGGTACAGTCTTCGCTCAACAGCAGAGCACATTTTCAGCTTATCCGTTTTATTTTGCAAAGATTTCAACATGTCTGCAACATCGACAATGATTGGCCCTTCTGTCGTATACGGCTGCTACTATTTTTGCACGAGTCGAGAGACAAGTTAAGCTTGGCAGACTTTTGACCCAACCCTTGGCTCTAAAAATTAGTTTATCAGATATTCCTGCCATGTGTGGTGTGTTAGGAGCACCTTGGTCTGTTCGGAAGGACGTCAGGAACACTCTGATCATAAATCAGGAATATTGAGCACAATGGATTGTTTCGGTCCGATTTCAAGGACAAATGAGCGGGCTGCCTGTTCAATGTGACGTGTAGCCAATCAGTGAGCGAGGTAAACGGAAGCATGGTCCTCCTCCTTCTTGTTTGTTTACTCCGAAGTCACTTTGATTGTGGGAGATGTTGCCGCACACTACACTATAGAACCAAAACTGTCGTATCTGTGATCGCTACGTGTGGGGTGTCTCATGGTGATCATCTGGCTGTTAGCTTGAGTCCTTCTGATTCTGCAGCCTGAGATTGTTCTGTGTCTATTTGTTACAAACAGCTCATAACGAATCCACGGAACTCAATTTCATCGTATCCGAACTGCCCCATCTGTCAAGATGGCAGCTGGGAACAGTTTCAGATGCTAGCATACAAGATAGTTGGTTTGAGGTAAGATAGGTCTGCATTTGTAACCAAATGCTCTATTTGAGTAATGAAACTGTTGCATTCAAGTATTTCTTGTTGGTACTTGACCACACACGTGGTGGGAAACTGTCTAGTCAAACATCTTCACCACATCTCAGCCAAGGCCGTTTGCTGTGTGTTGGACAACAAAGGTAAAATCACAGAACCCTGAAGCACAAAACAGACATGTGTCCTAAAAAGGAGACACAAGACAAACGGTGAGAGTGAGGGACAACATCGACATCACGTCTCAGCAGAACCTCAATTCTCCAAATATGGCTGAATGTCTTCTGTAAAACCAACACTTTGCACCTTGTTATTGAATCCAAATGTGTCAGAATGTCAAATTCACATTTAAAATCTAGAATTTAATCAGCTGGTGTATGAATTTACATTAAATTGTCTAATTGCATTCATGTAAATATAAATGTCTAGAAATGAGGTTTTACTGCACATTCAAATAATTTAACCACAAAAGTGCATTCAAAGAATGACAAACCAACTAAACAAATTCCTATTTTTTTAAAAAAGAAGTTGGAAGTTTAGGACTCCCTGGTCCAAAAACTTCACGTCTCTGTCTACGAGTACACTTTAGTTAGGACATCTGCAGTCCATGTGGGGTTGAGAACATCTGCAAATGTGATTTTTCTCTTATTTTCAGTGGCTTATAAACAGCCCCACCTATAGACTGAAGGTGCCCTCACCAAGGAGGTAGAACAGAGGTTAACGTTGGGGAAAGGTCTAGCAGGCCCTTCTTTGTCCTACCGCACAGAGTTTCTCTGAACTTGGAGGTGAGCTTCTCAATAACGCCGTAAGTCTCCACGTAGAAAACGTGGTCTTCCAGAGGGATGCTGGCCATGAGTCGCAGGGACTGCATGTCTGCACGGTCCACTCCCACAGCGTAGATCTCAATCCCAGAGGCCCGGGCTTCAGCAGACACTTCTTCTACCTGGTCTTGAGGTCTTCCATCTGTCACAATGATGGCTACCTTGGAGATCTTCCTGGAGCGAGGCCGAGCTCCAGACTGCTCGGTGAAGGCTTCATTCATTGCCGTTTTGATGGCTATGCCGGTCATGGTGCCAGCTGCCAAGGGCTCGATCCGTAAGATGGCTTTCTTCAAATCCAGCTTGTTGAAATGGTCTTTGAGCAGGAACTCTATCTTGACCGTGCTGGCGTAGTTGACCACGGCCACCCGGGTGGCCTCCAAGCCCACATCCAGGGTGTCGACCATGTCGGCGAGGAATATTTTGACCTTCTCAAACTCAGCAGGACGCACGCTGCGAGAGCTGTCGATGATGAAGACCAGGTCCAGGTGACGGGTCCTGCACTGAGAGTCTGTCTCTGGTGATCAACCAAACCATGGCAGCAATAAGTCCATTTCAACGATCGTCAGACAGAAGCATTACAGTTTGTACTTTCACAAAAGAACAGAAACGGTTAATCCACCAAAACAGAACATTTTGATACACAAACACAGGAACAAAACTGAATGGTTTTGTTTGCACCAAAATGATACCATATGCGGCGCTGCATACGGTATCATTTGTCAACACCATCTCATATTCCTTGACGGAAAAGTGCTTGATGGCCAGGACATAAAACAGTGACATCATATCTAAAAAGTGTTAGGATCCCATGCACATTTATCAAAACAGACCCTCTTAACTCTTAAGTTTGTGCAGAACTTAAGACCAGTTATAGCTCTGTTTCTCTTTCAGCTGAATCTTCAAGAGATCCATCCTTTACTATCCATCATTGCCCAATCATGCTAACTTGCATTCTTAAGAGAGTCACCAATTTTCTTGTGTATTTCCTACATTTTGCATATTTTTTCATTTATGACCAAAACAAAATAAAACCATCTAACCTGGAACTCTTTTGAGTGGCATGAGTTGGGTTGGAAAGCAGACCTGACTGGTAATATTCTACCTGTCTCCATAGCACTGATGGTGGTGATGAAGCCGCTTTGGGTACTGACCGGTGGTAGCGTCCTGGGAGCAGGTGTCGTCAGCAGCACCATCGCTGTTGCTGGTAGAGTTGGCTTTGGCAGGGTTGGAAAGACGGTAGGGGGGACTAGAACTGGAGCTGGTGTTGGGTTTGAATTCGTCGAGCACTGACCCTTCAGTTTGTAATGAAATGGACCTTTGACCCTATGATGAGGATGGAGCGGTGCAACTGGTGGAAATACACCTTTGTATATGTGATGCGAATGTGGTGCCACTGGTCCACTGAACCGGTGGTGATAAGGTGGCATGGGGACCGCGGGTCTGTGGTAAGTCACTGGTGGAGATAGAGGTCGATACACTACCGGCGGGGGGATCCTTGGTGGCTGGTAGTGGTACTGATACCCTCCTCTATACGTGTAATCACTTCTGTGATCTACAGGCCCACCAGAAAGGAAAAGTGATAGAGAACATTAGTAGACTCATAGAACGTAAACAAACACGTGTAAGTAAAACATCCAAGTTCATTTCCTCAGGATCGGACAAAGGATTAGTAGAAACTACGTGGGTTGTTTCAGACAGACTGAGGTGAATTACCTCGTTTAGATTTGAGATGTCATGCATGTTTGAGAGTGTTAGAATAAACAATTTCACAGTAATGCTTTTCAGATCTTATGTTAGCCCTAAATAAATTAAATCACAATTTTTATGCAAGGCAAAAAAGGTTTTATCAGCTATTGCACTTTTAACGTGCGTACATTTAAGCTACCAAACAGCTCAAACATCCAAATGTTAATCATTTGTTCAAATGATAACATTACTTTAGTGTTAAAACCTAATTTTCCCCATCATTAATATTTCCACAGTCCATCATCTTCATCTAAACAGGGTTTTGATACGACTTACTTGCTGGATTCAGGCTCCTGAAAGGCGGTCGACCATTGAGTCTGGTCTGAGCGTGACTCTGTGCAGCGGTCAGGTGAGGATCTACGGCTCCGAGGTGATACGTGGCCTGGGCGACATCAGAGAACAGCAGCAAAGAACAGAGCAGGAGGCTCTGGAGGAACGGCTTCATCTCTGCAGGATCTGTGAGTAAATTCTCCCTGTGGTCAGACCGGTCTAGCTCCTCTCAGGGTCAGGAGGGTTCTGCTCAGCTCTGCAGGGGATTGCCCGCCTCCAAATATGAGGGGATCGGAGACGGAAGCGTCAGGCCGTCTTGTCCAATCCAAAGGTGGGACGTGACCTACAGGTTAGGGTGTTAAAAGAGGGGGGGGGGGGGGGGAGGGGTTTGGAATAGTTTTTCTAATCTGTTTCGTCCAGGCTGTTTATTTTATTTACTTTTTTATACTTATTAATCGTTACCTGCATATATTTATCCCTGTTCCTTTAATAACCATAAAAATGCCGTTCTCAATAAATATGCTGTAAAAATGTTAAAGATTAAAAGATTTCCCTAAACATTATCAAGATTGGAATTTCAAAATAAAATATTTTGTTATTCTTGAGCTTGAAATGCAACTAAAGTACCACACCAGACCCGATAACACAATCAATCCTGGAAGAAAAGTAATCATTCTATAAAATCTGATTATATTTAATATTTAAGGGACAAAAACATCAGAAAATGCAGAAAAAAATATGTCTGACACCAAATTGTTCAGAGACATTTATTGAAGTTATTTGTATCTCCACTTGGATTAAATCATATTACCAGTTAAGTAATGGAGTATGTGTTGATAAGCATGCAACAACTAATGTTCACAAGCGAAGCCGTTTGCTCCAGAGGCGAGAATCTCTCAGCCCCAGCTGGAAAAACCATTTAGCAGCTTTACTCGAACATCATGGCAGCGAAGCGGTGATGGCGTCTGCTGGGGAGGGGGACCGTACTACAGCAAAGCTAAATAAATAAAACTAAATTAGGTGCTAAAGACTACATTCAAGACGAGAAGGAACAGCCTTGGTCTTAAACACAGGATAACGAACACAATTCAACAATAGTCTAAGAAGTGGATTGTTGTTATTTTTCTTCTTTAAAAAACAAATTTTCAACACTTCATTTGATCCACTGATAGGAACAGAGCTGGGTCGATGAAAACGTCTTTAGCTACTTCATTTTCCCACATATTCTTTCACTAAGATTAAAAAAAAAAGGTTGTAGGAGGGAGAAAAGGGTGGAGGATTCCTTCCATTGCTTTATTTATTTCAAACCACACATTCACTCATTTTCACACAAGTCTGACGTTTCTCACCCGTTTCCTTTCACATCTCCAGGATGTTCTACAAACACTCTAAATGATAGACAGCACGGAGGATGAAATAAAACATCATTCAGGGCACAATGGTGTTCAGAATGGGCTGGAGAGGGTATGTAGGAATGCATATGATGGTGTGTGTGTGTGTGTGCATGTGTGTGTGTTGGCAACACGGCTGGTGCTTAGGCTGGCATGTAAGGGGGAGGCGGGTCCTTCTCTGGCATCTTCATTGCCATCTCATAAGTGGGTAGGATGTACTGGAAAAGAAACGCAGACATAAGCTCTCCATATTGGGCAGTAACGTGTCTAAATACAGACATGAACTCACTGAAAGCTAATGTTTCAAATGTAATTCTAATTTACTAGATTAGAAATTAGGGATTTTATTAATTTTCTAGGAGATGGGAAATAAAGTCAACTAGGAGCAATGGTGCACTTTGTAGATATTTAAATAGTCAAGATATATATATATATATATTTTTGTATTTTGAGAATCAACAGAGTTAAAGGCATACTAGGTCGTTTTGGCTTGCTTTTAGTACTCCTAGCTGTGCATTCGTCCTTTTAACACATTTAATCTAACTGCTGAAATGTCTCTAAAGGAGCGGTTCACCACTAAATCAAACAAATCTGCTGTGTTCACGATCTAAAACATGCAGGAAATGTGATGAACGCAGACTGCAGCGCCAGGTATGTCAGCTCCAATTTACCAAGTCCAACAGAGACTGGTGTCGGTACCAGATCGGCTCGGGTACCAGATCTAATCGGGGTCCTGTGCCTGGCAATGACGACACACAACGGCAAATCCACTCTGCTTTTAAACGTCCGTTTTGGAAACAGTTTAGCCTCACGGCCTAATTTTTTCTTTATAACTGTAATTTGGTAAGAAAACACACATTGTCGTCGTTTTTTAAAGAATGTGAAACTACATAAAACCAACATCAGACTGTCAAAAAAAAAACAGGTCTTACACGTGACATTTTTAAATGTATTTACATAATTAGCAGCCATGTCTGTTTGTATACATTTAGGATTTCCTTGTATTATTTGTTAGTTCACATGTAAATAATTCCATTCATTCATTAAAAATGTTGCTAGCCATTTGTTAAATAGAGTTTTGTTATTTATTTTTTGCCCCATTTCACCAAACTCAGTTTCCTCTGGCAATATAAACATATTTACTCCGAAAAGTGTTTGTTTTCGGACTGCAGGACTTCAACCACAAATTTGTTCGGACCAATCAAAATCTTTAATGTCAGCGTGCTAAAGTAACTTTTATGAATGTGGTATTGTAACTTTAGTAAGTCCTGACTTCAGTCAAGCATGTAGTATGACGTCATCGGCAGGCGCAGGACCCAGAGCCGACCTGGTACCGACACCGGACTAGCACTCTGAAGTTGCAACTGCAGTATTCTGGCCATAGTGGGCAGTGGGGGTCTGAGTGACTCTACATTAACCCTGTAAAGGATCATTTTAGCACATACTGGCTCAAGAAAAATATTTTAAAATATGATAAAAGTTCCATGGTATCCCTTTAATTGTTGCTGTTCAGCACAAACTGAACAGAAAGAATCGCTCTCCTAACTAGAAACGTTTTAACTTTATCTGCCTTATTTAGCCTTTTTAAGTCCATTTCAACAACAAATAAAAACATTATATTTCTTGACTTAATTCTCCTATGATGTCAATTCTTTAAAGAAAGTTAAAAAGAAAGAATTTGTCAAATATCTGGTTATATTTTTGTTTTCCCCCCTAAACAATAAAACGTAAGACTCTACACTAAAACCTATAAACTTGCTACAAACAATTATTTTAGCAATAATCTGAAATAATTAAAAACCAAAGTAACTAAATCTCTTAACAGATTATGCTAGAATTTAGAATCACACGTTAGTGAACACTTCCGTCTGGGTGTATTCAGTACGCCATCTGCTGGTTTGAGCTGAGTGTTGCATGCTGCACATCAGGTACTGGTGCCTCTTAACGCTCGCCTACCTGGGGAGGAGTCTCAAAGGTGGGATAAACAGCAATTTCCGGCATGTTCCTGTTGTTGATGTACTTGTAGCAGTTCCACACGCAGTTGATCAAATAAGCCTGGAGGGCAGAAATGAGAACACACTTTAACATTTACAGCTGAAGGAATCCAAATCCAGCCAGGTTTGAGCTGTAAATGAACGTTTGTTGGACTGTTGAGGAGTGATGGCCTCACCTTGAGGATGATGAGGAAGGCGAAGAAGACGAGCACAAAGAGCAGCAGACAGCTGGAGTTCAGAGACAGAAGGTAATCCTTGTAGGGGAAGTCCGGCTGAGCGAGCCACAAGAGCAGAACGTTAAAAGAGAATGATGATCACGTGTGTTCAGCTCACATCCCCACCAGAGGCCACACTGCTGGGACTTTTGTAGCAACAGAAGGAGCTCTGGCTCTTCTACCATTCCATCAACAGGGAATCACGTTCAATTCCAACAGTGTCCCATTTTTAGGAGAACATCTGAATGAAGACCCGATTACATAAACAATTAAAAACTCACACGCTGCAGCTAAGGAACTCATATTTGTCCAAACCTGAGCTCGGCTAATATTAGTTTCTCTTAATGCCGATACCGATGCAGATATGTAGGAGACATGGTCAGCCGATGGTCGACATCTACTGCAGATTTTTATGGGTCGATATCCAGACACGTTCCAGCTTATTCTCCTTCTCACTAATAACAGCTGATGCACAAACTTTCTGAAGCTGAATCAGTTTTTTTTTACTCTGAATGAAACTTCCTGTTAAATCTTAACTTTGTGAACTGCTCAGTGTTAAAGTCAGACAAGAGCATTTATTATGCAGATGTTATTGGTGAATGTAAAAATACCTTTAAATTTAATTCTGCAACAGCACCGGGCTGCCCGAGGATGTGCCTGACTTTAAATCGGCTTTACTAAGGACAAATATCAGACTAATATATCGGTCTACACATAGTTCAAACAATGTGTCTTCATTACAAAACATCCTCCAAAATAAAATAGCACATTTGAGTGACCTATAAAAATCCACAAACCACTAAAAATTTTAAATGCATCAGTTTAGAAAATAAAACTAAACATCAAAGTGTTGAAAATTACTGTGATGTTGCAGTAAGAAAGAGAGAATAATGAATGAAATACGTAGTGCTGCTGTGACAGAAAAGGAAAACAGACCCAGCAAGAACCCCGAGTGGTAAAAAGTCCTTCTAACTGACCAGCTGATCCAGGTAGTCTCTGATCCTGGGCAGGTAGGTGAGAGAGCTGATGGCCACCAGGCAGCTCAGAGCAAAGTCAAACAGCTGGTAGCAGAAAAACGGGATGAGCCATCCGTCACGATGCTAAAAAGAGGCAACGTGAGAAAAACTTGATTTATTATGAAAGTGAAACCCATAATGACCATTTTAACCTTCTCTGTTAGCACCCATTACATAAGAGCAGTCATGCGTGAGATCCCAGCTACCAAATATAAACAAATGCCACATCTGGGAAATGTTCTCAGCAATCTGAGAAACAGGAAGGGTTTTCTTCCAAATTTAGACGCTAACGCCATTTTTATTCCCAACAGGAATTAAGCACAGATTAGGCTTTAATATTAGAAACATGCAAACAGAGAAGGTTTAAATTTAACAACATCGGTTCCTCTTTTGTTTTTTCTTCCACTAAAAGCGCACACACAAGCCAAATACACTCCTAAATGATCTCTAAGGTTACTGAAACTATTAGAACTAGCTGCCACACAACCGTGGAAAAAGGAAGGGTGTCTGCAACCTTGGTCTGGAAGGACGTCCTTGCACAGCTCAAGTACAACTCTGCAGCGTTCCCAGGTAACGGTCATGTTATCACTGCACGGTCATGCTAACTAGTAGCTTAAAACATCAAACAGCTATCAAACCCGTCCGTCTTGACGCCATGAGGCAGGCCTGTGAGGCAAGCGTCATCGTGCACGATGAGAACACAACACGCTGCAACTAAAGAACACTCCTTTTAACAAGCAGATGACGTTCACGAGTTAAAAAAAACATCTTTATCACGCTCTTCTTACTAAATTACATGATTGCTGAGCTGTTTAGTTTGTAATTTAGCATTTTACAAATGAAACATTTAAAGTAGCTTAAAATAAAGGGAAAACGTACAAATGAGTTTAAACTTACAGTGATTGCTCCGTACACCATCATGGCGCTGATGGTAAGCATCAGCAGCGAGATAGCAAATCCAACACAAGCATTTTCTGTAGAAGAGATTAAAAACTAATGAGCAAATATTAGTTTAGAACAGCTTCGGCTTCATCTGTAAATGTTTAGCGAGCTACTTTAATGTTTTGTCTTTGTGCTGCAGGAGGCAGCTGTGATTTGCCAACACTGATAAGTGGACAGTCTCCCGGGCCGGCAGACTCACTTTGTATTAAAAGACAGCTCTAGGGAGCGTTAATCCTTTCAGCTGGGCTGGTAACGATATGAAGCTCAGTGTAGGACAATTAAATGATCTTCCTTTCATAGCCTTTTTACCCTTATCAATCATCCTCTCGCTTTAACTGCTGTGTTGGGAATGCCTGGGAGAGCTGCAGCGATGCAGCCGACACACCACAGGTCAGACTGGATAATACACACACCGGAATGAAACGTCTAGTGAAAATAAGCCTCTCTATTTGAGCTGATGACAATATTTTAATTATCTAAACATCTAAACTGTCTAAGGGAGTCTTTGTAAATGTTTTGTGCTCTTTCAGAGCACACCATTACAGTAAACACAGTTTTACCATCAAGGACTAATGACAAATAATGTCTCAATATTATTTGTGCAAGCTGTGCAACCCTGAAATAGGAAAACCAGCTCTCAGAAGTTATTTCTCCTTTTCTCTGGCTAATTCATTGCTTAAAAAAAGGCCAACCAATGATAAAAGCCAACCACTAAGCCTCATCATATTATCTTTACAAGACAAATTGTACCAAAGGGCAACAATTGATGGAAATAGATTAACAAATCCTCAAAATAGCCAATGAATAACTTATGTGGAAACGTGCAGATTCCAAAAATAGAAAATGTTTTTTCACTAGTCTTTGTGTTGGTGAGCTAACTATCTGTACATTATGTTGAGGATTTCAAAGAATTTATGTTACACAATCTTGATACGTAGACATAATAATACAAGGACATTTCAATACATTCAGCTGTTTATTGGAGTTTTTAGACGACTTTTCCACTCACCGGACATCCTGTCGGAGGCAAAGTAATGGTCAATGACCTCGTACTGCAAGTCAATGGTAGGAACATTCTCTGGGTGCGTCACGGCCACAGTCAGAAGGATGCCCATCAACAGGTTGACTACCTGGAGTTCAGGAAAGAGTAGGGAAATGTTTAGTGAACACAAAATACAATAACAAAAATGCAATTATTGTGTTTGTAAACTATATTATAGCGCTTTCTAAAAAAAATGCAAGTGTCACAAGTAAGACAGTGGAGGGGGATACAGCCACTAGCAACAAAACAAGAAACACATATATTACATTCTTTCTTTTGGTAGATACAGTACATAATTGTGGATTTGATCTATTTGGAAGGTAATTAAACAAAAAAGTAAAAATTTTCATAATAAAACTAAGTCGGTGTCTTCCATAAAAATATTCAGCAAATTTGACCTATTTAGTAAAACATATATTCAGTCAATACTCGTGTTTTTAAATTGTGTCCATCTATAAAATAATTTTTTTTATTATGGAACTAATCATTATCTTAACGAGTTAGAATAAGGGTGTTTTTAAGGGGACACTGCGGAATCCCTTTACCCGTTACATTCATGTTGGCCGAGCCTCGGCTAAGTCAAATGTCTTCATATCTCACTTGTGTACAAAAAAATCCCAATTCCGACTACGTTTGGTCTTTTTTGTGACTTTAAGAACAAAAAAATATCCGTTTCAACTGGAAAAGACAACTAATGAGTTAGCAAGTTGTCGCTAACATTAGCATCCTGCTAGCATTACCTCAACTAGCTACGGCTATTTTAAGAGTCAAAATGACACACTGGGTAAAGTCACGCAAGTAAAGACCAATATAAGATAATTTTTAATTATATCCTGAAGAGATTAGTTACGTAACTCAACACTTATGCGGATTTTTGACAAGCGAACAGCGCAGGCTAGCGTACGCGATCACACAGTTATCGAGAACCATCTTACGCACCATGTACCATGTTCCCAAGATAATGGTCCCAGTTCGAACATGGCAACATCCACAGCACCGGGTGGTGTACAGTCTATCCCGACTTGGTTTAAAATGATGCATGTCCTCTACGAGAGTAGGGAGAAACATCTGGTCGAATTACCGAAAAGCCTGCTCAGCATCAACAGTCAGCGAACGAACACAGAGGAACGCCCACTCCGACGACCTGCGCACACCGCGGATGAAAACAAACGCTCAACAAACCGGAAAAGGCGGAGTCTGATTTCTTGACTGACGGGAGTTTAAGCCAATGACCACGTACCGCATAAAACTACTCAGCATCTTTTTAAGTGACAATTAGCATTTACTTAGATGTTCTGACAGTTTTAACATCTGTTTGCGTTTTTTAAATTTTAAATAACCGACAATGCTTCACAAAAACATAAATGTCAAAGAAATGAAGGAATTTCATGATCAAACATCAATCCAATCCAATAAAAAAGAACAAATAATTCAGACTTGTTTCATTAAAACAATGTTTTTGCTTAATCTGTTATGCTAACCTAGTTTAAGATGTAATTTTAGCTGAAAAAAACAACAACTTCAGAATAAGTGCACCACCATCCAACCCCAAGCTTGTACTTGCTAAATTATTTACAATTAAATTAAATTCTATAATCAGAAAAGGAAAAAATGCAAAAAAAAATCAAAATAGAACTTGCTTCTCCTTTTCTGTCCCTGTTTATGCAGCAAATTTTTTGCATTAGTTGCATCTTTTGATTAGTTTTACCATAAACCATGGAGACAGATGAGTTTATACTTTTAATCATGTCATACATGGTGAATTAGAAGCAGATTGAGCTTCTCAGACTCAGTTTAAAATGTTTATTTTGGCATTTGTTCTAACTGATAATTTAGAGTTTGCTTTGTCAATAAGCTGAAATTATGTGAAATATAGAATGAAAACGTATTCCACTTTCACATTCCACAGTTCACAACACCACATTTCTATGTATCGTGTCACTTTTTGTTCAAATATAGTAAAAGTGCATATTCATTTCATAAAGTCTTAAATGAAAATCACTGATTAAATAGTTTCAGAGGTATTTTTTATTATTACAGAATAACAAAAAATATATGCACACATATATTGCACGACAGAAGCATAATTTCACTGTTTCTTCATGTTTTTATACATTACCCCACTGTTTTCCTTCCTTATATCTATGAGGTGCCATTTGTAAAGTCAAACAGTCGTAACTTAGCAGTATTTTGGGTTATTTAGCATGCTCATAAAAAATGGGAGTTCATTTTTCAAAGTAAAAATTTCCCCATGTTATTCATACATTTATAAATATTAAAGATCCCAAGAAAATATTTAGTTAGCGAGCTAAATATTTAATTTAGCGTTAATTAATCAATTTACAAACTAAATATTTAGGTCTGACCTAAATATTTAGTTTAATTAATTATTTATTTATTTTATTCACTAAATATTTTATTTGGAGCTTAATATTTGGTGTACAAACAAAATATTTAGCTTCAAGTTCAATATTTATTTTTCTAAATAAATATTTAGATCCAAGCTTAACCTCAAATTTAGATTTTACAAATGTTTAGCTCAAAAATAAGTATTTAGATGCAATCTATTTTTTAAAGAAAATAAATATTTAATTTATTTAATGTATTTAAATATTTTGTTTGTAAACTAAATATTTTGCTCCAAATTAAATATGTAGTAAATTATTTATTTTACAAACTAAATATTTGGGTTTGACCTAAATATTTTGTTTGTAAAACAAATATTTAACTCTAAGTTAAATATTTTTGCTTGCTTACTAACTATTTAAATGGTAACTTTAACAATTATAAATGTATGAATAACATGGTGAAATTTGACTTTGAAAATTTTACTCCCAATTTTTTCTCTTATGATAGGTTAAATAACCCAAAATACTGTTGTTAAATTATGACTCTTTGACTTTACAAATGGCACCCCATATTGATCCACTAAATGCATCATTGGTATTCGCAAGAATGCATACTGTGTTAAAATTCACGTTCCATATACTGATGCAACAAAGACAAATTTAAATATATTACACAAATCTTTATATATATGAATATATATACCTGGCATATCGTAAACTTAACAAGCTTTCAAGGAATATCGGCTTAACCCCGGAGCTCAGGGATGGAATGCATCGCGCTGTGAACTCACAAACTCATATAATTGCCGAGATGAGTTGTAAGCTTATAGGCTGAGATTCAGGCTCTGGCACAGAAGGTTGATTCGATCAAGGAGAGAGTTGACGGATCAGCACGGATCGGTATAGTTTGATAACGCCATTATTGGACCTGGATGGGTTGAAGATCAACAGAACTTTGAGGCAGAGAGGAAATGATCTCTGTCTGTACCCAAAATAATTCTTATTATCTGAATCCGGTGCCCTTGAAGCCTGTGAGGCTGAGGTGAACCCCCCCCCCCCCCCCCCCCCTAAGAAATGTGGAATGCTGCCGTCACTATGGAAACCCTTTCTCCCTATCCCAGCCTGGGCGGGACTGTGACCGGTGAAGGCCGTGGAACCGTTTCTAGGAGTCAATGTACTCTTTAACCCATTATCTCCCTCCCCTGTCCAAACGGAGGTGATGAGCGCTGCCACATGCAGCTGCATGCAGTGAAGTGAGGAGAGTCCCAACCCTACCCTCCCACCTAGTGGACACTTATATTGTTTATCGTCGGAAATCTGTGTGCATATCAGTCTGAGGTGTTTTTTTTTTTTTGTATAGCAAAGCTATCCTCTCTGTGGAGGGTAACTCTGAAGTGCCTTTTTTCCCTCCCCTGACTCTATCCTCATATAAACCCTCTTGATCTATTACGGTAGCGTGACTCACGTTGCGAATGACCACAGTCACCAATTCTTGTCATGTGTCTATGTATGTATGTCTGATCTTGGAATTGTCTGTACTGAAACTACTGAATTTCCCTCTGGGATTAATAAAGTATTTTTGAATTTGAATTGAGTTGAAAGCAAAAATTGCTAAAACCTTCTGTTTGATTTGATAAATACTGCACATATTTCTGCTTCTTCTTTTAATAACACACACACAGTAAAGTCCCTTGTAACTAGGTTTCAAAATAAAAGTCCATGTTATTCCAGACCAATAGTTCTTTAACATTTTACATACATAACCTTGGAACATTCTACATTTTCCTGTAAATTAGTGAGAAGATAAGGAAATCAACAGCACATGTTCATTCTTAACTGACATAAACAAGAAAACTGGCTGAACCAGTATCTCACACGGCTGGGAGTATGATGACAAATTGCATAGAAGTTTCCAACATGCCTTGTTCTCCTCCTGTGAGCTGCAGGGCCTTGTCGGTAGTCACGGTGTGATCGCACGCATCAGAAAACCAACTGGGATAACTTTGAGCTTGGTTTCCATGAGTCAAAATTGTTAGAAAATGTTGGATAACTTTAGGAGGAGTAGATCTGTGGGATACTTTTGCTTTGTGACTCATACGACAAGGCCCAAAAAGTTTTAGTTACCATAGGCATGAAAAAGCAATCTTAAATATATGTAAAATATAGGCAAGATCATTGGTTACTTTTCTAGTTTAGACTAAAGTTTGATCAGTATTAAGTGCAAGAACCAACCCCCAGGCGCTCTACAATCAGAAAGTGTCTCAGTGCTTTAAAACCAACCTGGACGTGACAGCTAAACTAAAACGTCAAAAGTTCTCATCCTTTTTGCGGCCGAGAATGTTTCCTTCCCCTTGTTTCTTCCTTCGAATGTAGATCAGTATGGCTGATAAAATAAACCCAAGAAATGCTCCTGTTACTCCTCCCGCAATACAGCCTGTTGAGAATAAAACAAACGATTCAGCTAAATATTGTAAAGGACAATAAATGCACCTGGAATCCAAAATACCTGCAGCAATTTCTTTGTTTTCCCAAAAGCTCTTGCTGCTACTGAAGGTGAAAGTCTCAGTCAACCTGTCCGTGGGAACCTAAAGTCAAAATAACAAAACTTTATTTCACGCTCACATTTTAGACAGAAACGTTTGAAAACCAGACTCACTCCGACAGTCTTGCTTTCTTTTTCTGGCTTTGCCACGATGACTGTTTTGATTTTCCACGGCCGATGCAGGAAGTTTAAAAACAAGTGTAAGATTAATTTCGAGAATGTTTTTAGAAAATGGAAATGATCTAAGGATGTGACAATCACAGGGGCGTGTCCAGGGAGTGGTCTGGGGTAGCACATGCCACCCTTGGAATCTGATTGGCCACCCCAAGTGCCACCACACTAATTTACCTTTAAATTGGCTTTTCATTGTCCACAAAAGGCTTGGGGGTAAAACAAAAATAAAGCATAACCATTGGTGCCACCCATGCACAATGGGCCACCCCATTTTAAAAGATCTGGACACGCCACTGGACAATCAGAATTACCTGGGTCTGGATCGTCTCCAGAACCAGAATCCTCCATGTCGTCCCCACATGCCTCCAAGTCCCCTGGAGGGTCAAAATACTTCTTTTATAGAGAAAAGAAAAATAAATTTAAAATGCATAAATGGCATCGCTAATTTCTGTCAGACATTATAGAACACACAAAAGGTTTAATTAAACATTTCGCTAGATAAGATTGCTGCATGAACACAACCTCTCAAGCACCATTTCCCTGACAAACATGTAATGAGGCAGGTATTCATCAACAATAAAGAGTCATAAACAGATGACGTCATGCTATTACCCTGGTTAAATGGACATTTCCACCATTTTGGAATGTGATTTGTGCAGTCAGAGAGGAGCTCAAATCAAAAAGTCTGTTGCTGTCGTCTTAAAACAGCTCCAGTCTGCAAAAGTGGTTCAAGCAAATGTTATTTTATAACCCAATCCACCCTCGTCTGTTTCACATTTTTGGTTATTTGCTGGAAATATTAAAGGTGTGGAACACTCGTTTAATCAATACATCTCCAGTGTACCGTTTCAGGAAGTAGAAGTGAGCCACAGCTGAGCTTCAGAAGGCAGATTTTGGAGTCTTATTTCCTGATGTTTGGACATCTAACCTCGGACTCTACCTGCAATGCGACTCTACCACCGACTTCCAACATGGATGTTTCATCTTCACAAATATCACAAGTCTGGAGGAGTTCTGCTGTGTGGTGGAGTTGCTAATGCTGACAGTTAGCTTCTACCACGAGACGTTCTCTGCTATTTCCTGAACACTAAACCAACAACAGCCTTCCCAGTCATGAGCCAAGATGGGTGAGTCCATGAATGTTTTGTGACAGGGTGACGTAGATCTGTCAGGATTTTCTAATCCTAGAGTTTCACCATCTATTTTCTATCAGAAGCTAATGCAGGAGATAGGTGTAGGAGACTGTTTTCATGTTCAACCTGCATGAAAAACTCAGCATGACAGATTCTAATCCCAAATACGATTTTAAAAATAATGTGTTCCACACCTTTAAAAGAATTCCTGTCAGACCTGATCTCTGGATGCACCAAAAGTGCAAAATATTTCCACTACTGATTTTATTAATGCTCATAAATAACTAAAGAATTCCACTTGTGATTTCCCAAGTAATTATGGATGGCAGAAACGTTTATAATCACAAGAAAACAACAACATTGAAATGATGAAAATCTTAGCTGGTTTAAGACCCTGTTTCTGGTTGCTCTCTTGCCGTTAGCTCATCAGTTGAGTAAAAGGTAAACCATTTCTCTGAACAAAGGCTGTTCAGGATGATACTTTACAAATATAAAAATAACTAAAAACATTTAGAAACCCATTTTTTATCTCTTTTGTGTTGTTGTACATTGCTAAGGCCAAATAAATGGATAGAAAACGCTAAATATAAATAAAAAAGTATCAATATGATACGAAACATGTCTGTGTGAACCTGGGAGAACATGCTACCGGGATTAAAAAATCATGTTTAATATAAAAATCAGACTCTTACAAATTTATAAACAACAGCACTGAAACATCGGGTAAATAAGCAGCTTTTCCTTATGTATAAACTTTGAAAAACACTTATGTTAATTTCACACACTTACAAGATGGAAAAATATTCAATTATGGAATAATTATCAACCTTTTTTAGTCATGGACTGATTAAAAAAAACTTTCTACATGAGTTTATGACTTATAAAGCTCTCACACAACCCAGTGGATGTAATACTGTAATCTAATAAAACAAATACAATTATAGCTTCAATTATAAATACTCTCTGGGATTTATGTGTGAGCTTTAAAAGATGTGGAATAAACCATTAAGTGAAAAAGTATTCTGGGGCATAATTTTAACAAACCTCAGTATTGTCTGGCACAATTCACTGCTTGCTGTTTCGTAACAGGAAGTGAGAAAGATACGTCTGTAAATGTACAGTTTTCTGTGTTTAAAACACTAAAGTTTTAAAAAGTAACTCACCAACGCTCCGGCAGGATGAATGAATCCCAGAAGTAAAATTAGAGAAGCAGTCAGACTCAATAACTGCATGTTTCTGGGATTTTGTCAAGCCCTGTCTTTACTTTTGCTTTCAACTTGAAGCTCTTGTTGGCATGTGAGCTGCTAAACTCCGCCCGTCATAAAAAAAAAAAAAAACTGGAAAATTGTGTGGTGAGTCAGAACATGACACCTACCTGATAATAAGAACTGGTTTCTAAATGATTAACCTGGGCTTAAAGGTGTAAAAACACCTGGATCAAGGTGGATCTGGACATATTAGTTCTGCCGTAAACATGTTCATGAAGTTCTTTGCACACAGAATCCCTCTCACATGAAGCCATTTTAGCAGTTTTATTCTTGACATTTTCAGTACCTTCCAGAACGAGCCATTTCAGGGGTCTGTCACTTTAAGAAAGCAAACTGAAAATGTGTCACTTAAACATATAAAGACAAGCACACTCACACAATTTCTAACATCTTATATAAATCTTTTAAAAGTCAAAATAAATATAAATTAAACATGGTGCAAATAATTAAAAGGTATAAAATGTTGCCAAACCTGAAAAAAAAATCTTAAAATCAGCTGATTTAGCAATTTTTTATAACCTTTTAAAATCAAAGTATATTGCATTTTATCCTTTCTGTAATTAGTGCTTCTATTTTGTTTCACCAATTTAAATTCATAAAATGCGAAGAAATTCAATATTTCAAGCACATTAAAATCTTGCAATAAAAATACAAAAATTCTCATTTATGTAAGTTTAGTTACATAATTAGTTTTTATTTTTACATAATTAGTTTCTAATGACATAAGCGGTTTTTATGCATGCAACTAAACAGTTCTTTTTCCAGTTCCACACCCTGGAAACGCAAATAAACATTTATTCTAAATGTAGCTAATCTGAAACTGAAACATCTTCATGAAACTTGAAAAGTACAAGGAAACCAAAGCATTTTGTTCCATTTGTGTAATAAATTAATTTAGACAAATGTTAGGTCCCTGTAGAAGAATGTGTGTTCGGGGCGTAACACCCCTTGTGTTTAAAGGGCCCAACCCTTGCACTTGTTATGAAAGTCAAAAGGGTTTATTACACAAGGTTTAAGAGGAACAAGGGACAAAAGGAGCTAGAGGACCTCTGGTATAAGGGCAAACCTACAGAAGGATGAGTTTACACAGGGAAACAACTAAGGGAGCCTGTCTTAATTTAGGAAGGTAAACAAAAAGGAATCGGGTTACTCCGGAACAGTAAAGTGAACTACTGTAGGAAACTAAAGTTATAAAAACCTTTTACAAAGTTATTAGAAAACCTACTAAAGCAAACTTATCAAGCGACTTAAGATCTATTATTAACCTATCCTAATCTACAATCAAACCTTTACAACGTCGGAAGGAATGTGAGAACGAGCTCAAAGGGAGAGTAGCGGAGACGAGCAGCGCCTCTGAACTCTGTCTCTAGTTGCGCACACAGCTGCAGCGAACTCCGATCAGACGTGATGGGGATCAGCTGTGGTCCAGCTGGCTGCAGGCTGGAGCTGAAGAGCAGGCCAAGGTCCTGAACAGCTCCACCTCCTGCAGAAATCACGGCACTACCCCGAAGGTCGCAACAACAAACCAAACAAGATAAAGCACAACAAGCAAATGAAATGTTAGAACAGTTTAATCATACATAGTCACAATTCTGCTTCCAAAAAAACTTGAGTTTGCTTTCTTCATCTAACATCTGGAAATGTACATAAGGCCACCTGAAAATGTACATGACTTTGACAGTGTGACAAAACTCATATGTTCATATTTATATAATTGACAATATTTTACAATGCTTTTGCTTACAAGGTAGTAGCTGTTCCAAAACGCAGCACTCTTCTGTACAAAAATAATTCTTGTCATATCTTGTGAAGTTTCCACGGTAGCAGAGAGGACTAGACACAGCCTCGGTTTTAGTCGTTTTCTGCGTTTCTAAACGCTCACACATCAGAGAGACCATCAACAGTGGCTGTTACAGCTTCAGGACAAATAGAGGCTGGCCTTTTCATAGCAGATTAAAAACTAACAAAAAAATAATAAACATGTCAGATTGTGAAGCCATAGATCTTTTTTTTTCTTTAAAATAACACTCGATCAAATAAAACTGTATACATTATATTCAAGGGAAAAGGAGTGATGAATATACACACAACTAAATGCACAATTTTTGCCTTTTTCTCCCCGAAAAAAGTGTAAAAGACGTCCCATTTACAGCATCAACGTTTACAAATGTACATCTGTACAGACGAAATAAAAGAATCACTACAAATTTAGAGCAAGGCCTGTCAAACACCACAACTAGACATATTTTCAACTCCGCTAATCTTACACTTATTAACTGCACATATACTACATGTCATCTACAATTCATAGAAAGCAAAAAAGCCGTCACTACGAGCGTTACCGGTGAACTTTTGATGGCCCCACCAGCCCCCGCCGCTGCACAACTAAAACGGAAAAACTAAATTTTATATTTATATTTTATATATATGTGTATATATATATATATAAATATAAAACAAAAAAGTGGAACCATCAAAAAAAAGGTTTTTAAATTTCCCTTTCTTCAAATCATTCACTACTTCCTAGCTCATTTCACCTCCGATTAACTCAACTTTCTGTTTCCTCTGACCTCCAGGCGGTGGGCGACCACCCCTCACTGCTGCCACTGCAACCCCCACCCAAAAAAAAAAAAACCCCTCAAAAGCAATACTTGTTACTCGCACATAAAAGATGCTTTACATTGCTAAACTACTTCTATGCAAGAGATGAGTATTAAGTACATAAAGATATACATTTTCTAGGGCAGTGTTCATCTCAAACTACAAAGATGTTACACAAAACATGGTTAAAAAAAATATTCCAACAATTAAAACTTGCCACAGCATGCCGATGCACCCCCCGTTAAGAATAAACACCCGCTGTACAACCAAACCTCATGCTCTGCTTCAACGTAATCATAGCTTTATTTATTTTTGTAAACCCAGAACGATCACGCGGATGAGGGAAAGAACGGCCCGACGAACGCAGCGGCTCGCAGCCAGAACGGCGAGCTGCTGGAGTAAACGCCCCCCAACAGCAGGCAAGAAGAAGCCGTAACTGGAAGGTTACCCACAAATCAAGCGCCGAACTCCTACGCCGAGCTGGTAAAAAAAAAAAAAAAAAAAACTTCCTCTGGACGGCAGAGTGATTGTGGCACTGCTCACCTGTAGACAGACGAGTTAATGAACCCATCCGTCATCTGTAGTGCTATTGAAAACATCTCCATTAGCTGCTTTGGCATGGGATACTATACAAATATAAAATTTAATTACCTGGACTTCATTAGGACAGCCGACACAATAAGTCAGGTAAGAAAAACCGTGGAATCCTGGTTTTAAAAAGGATCGCTCCGTTCTGATTTATAAAGTCACTTGCTGGTGTTAAATTGTAAGAATTGTAAATGTCAGCAAATGTTGTAATAATTATTTTTTTTTATCTTCACAGAATTTACAAGGTAAAAAAAAAAAATCAAATGTACAAGATACTATGAAAACTAGTCAAATACATCAATTACATAATCAACAACGGGTTTGTGCTTTACCCAGGAATAAACAAGAGAAACAGGAAGAGCCCGCTGACTGTGTTGCCCCCGGAGCACACGCCGGGCTCCGGCGCCAGGGGCCGCACAGTGGCAGGGGTCAGGTGTCACAGCATTCTTAGGTGAAATTGACTTGTCTTTTTTTTTGGTAGCTCACCCCCTTTATAAAAAAAAAGGGTCGACAAGAGTGTGTCAAAGGCAAGGCCCTATGGCTAAAGGAGCAATCGCTCACAGAACAGAGGGTTTGGCGTTCCAGCTCCTCCCACTCCTGCGGGGACCAGCGGGTGGACACGCTTACATGAGTCCGTTAGCGGGGCCACCGATGGGGCCCAGCTCAGAGCCGCTCTTCATGTAGTACTTCTCCAGCTTGGCCAGAATGTGCTTCCCATACGTGTACTTACGCAGAGTGGCAATGTGAGGCCGGATCTGACGAGGACGACAGAAAGAAAAGATTTAGAATCTGAACTCATTCCAACAGATTAAATGACACATTGTGACACCGGTCTGGAGCGGACTACACACACCGAAAAGAGTCGAGACTAACAGATGAAGACTGATCTAGCTACAGGGAGAGAGCAGCTGCAGGCGACGTGAGGTCCTGTGATCAGCCGTGAGCTGCTCTAGTTCGATTATGAAACAGGACAGAAGTCTGAATAAAGCTGATAAATCAGCAGAAACTTCGCCCATGTGTCTGAATATCTGCAGAGTGTCCTTCAGAACCTACAAATGAGGCTGACATTAGCTTTACGGGTAAAAACGTGGGTTCATGAGAGGGTCTGTTGCCATATGTCTAAGACTACACATTGCCATGACAACATACAGCATTCAAGACCGCCGTGACATCCAAGTTCAGCTCAGCCCAAAGGTTTTCACCATCGTGTGCTGGACGTTCGGTCTTCCAGCCGCCTCACCTTGTGCATGATGATCTTCCGCTGCGCAGGTTCTGCCATGTCGATCATTCTTTGGACAACATAGTTGGCGTACTGGTCCTTCATCATGGTGTACAGGGCGCTGTGGGGCCCGTCCTTCTGGCAGCACACCTCGTCTATCAGCAGCGCTCTCTCTGCACGCGAGGAGTGGATCACACACTTCTCCACCACGTTACTGAGGGAAAAGGAGAAGACGAAAGCTAAGATTCACAGACGATCGAATCCAAAAGTTATTTTAAGTTTGGGCTTTTTCCATCAAGTGCTTTTAAAACAATGTATAGAAACTATCGTACCTCCTCATGTGTACGATCTAATTTATCATACAAAGGATTAAAATGGTGGTTGTGTGGTGACGTTAACGCTGAATGAACCAAAACACCCACGTGAGTATGAGGTCTATTTCTGGAGCTTCTCTCACAACACAAGGTTTGCACTGTAATTGATTCAAATGCACGAGGATGCACCAATGGGCAGCTCCTGCATGAATCAACCACGAGAATTCACTGATGTGTTGCAGCCACAGATTAGAGACAGACCACAAGTTTCAGAGCAATGACAACTAAACAACCAGGTGGAAAACACAGTTGCTACACAAGAGAGAAGCCTCGGTTTAGAATTAAAGGAGAACTGTAAAGAAAAGATAATAATCTAACAATTCCTGATCGATTCAAACAGGTGGGAGTGAGTGCATCAGTGGGACTAGATATATCGATCATTTCTGTAGTATCTCGGGAACTCTTCAAGACCATAAAAACTTCAAAAGTAGATATGGAAGAAAAAAATTGGAGGCACTCCGAAAAATAACTTAATATAACATAAGCTAGGGCTGGGCGATATGGCAAAAATAGAAAATCACAATTTTTCCAATATTTTATCACGATTTCGATTTTATCACGATTTTTATCCATGAATAGCATAACTTCAATTGCGTATTAAAGAAGAGAAACATTGAATAAATAAACATTTATTCATATTAGGGATAATCAGCACAGTGCTAACACACTTATATTTTAAACTCACACCAGAGATGATAAAAGCCCTGAGAGAAACAATTACAAAAATCTGTTTTTCTCGTTTTTCAAGTAACTTAACATAAATTAAAATCGTAAACATATTTAAAGTGCAAACATGTCAATTGCAAACGTATTGTGCAAACATTAACTTGTTCAAAATACTATGTAGCTCCCAGTTGCTCATGTAGTGGATAGTTAAGCTCAAATACAGCTCTGATGTGCGGCTGAACCAGAGATCGCTTGTGGTAGCAAATAACTGCGCATTCTGAATATTTTCTGCAACTCTCACTTTGCATTCAGCGTACATGCGTGGAATGGCAGTGTTCGAAAACACTTGCGGCTGGAAAACTCGTAGCGCGGATCCAATGTTTTTATCATTTTCTTAAATCCCGCTCCTACTGTTCGCACAGGACACAAATCTTTAACCAAGTGGTACATCACTGCATCTGTCATGCTGTTCCATCGTCTGCTGTCTCTGTCATAGGGAGTGAGTTTTGTGAGTGTTTCTGTTAGCGTTTGCTGCCTGGAAGAAGCACTAGCCGCTGCAGCCGCAGGCTTTTTAGCTTTAGCTGCCAGATGGCTCTCGTTGTATTGTTTGGGATGCCTTCCTTTCAAGTGAGTAAACAAGTTTGTGGTGTTGCCATCACTTGCCTTGACGCTCTCCTTGCAAATGACGTTTCACTGCTCTTTGTCATCTGGTGAAAAACCGAACCAGTTCCATATAACGGACGAGGCATTCCTCTTCGGAACGAACACCTCGTTGTCGCTCTCAGCCGCGGCCGAAGCCATGTTTGTTCACACACAGGTGAAAACAAGCGGGGCACTAATATATTACTATGACTCACTCTGATTGGTTAAGGGTCAAACAAAGGTGTGTCATTCGCCTGAGGTAAGTTCCCTTTTCATTCAGAGGCAGAAATTCAACAGCAGAGCTGTGAATCGTGATAAAAAGGTCTCTCAAAAATGACAGACCGTCAGATGTGTAGATCGTAAAACTGTCTAAAATCATCATATCGCCCAGCCCTAATATAAGCTGATGTGTTTCGGTCGCGTGCGACCTTCTTCGGGACATCATCTTCATTGTTCCTTCTTCAGGATGCCCTGAAGAAGGTCGCACGCGACCGAAACACATCAGCTTATATTATAATAAATTATTTTTCGGAGTGCCTCCGATTTTTTCTTCCATATCTACTTTTGAAATAATTTAGCAATATTTAAAGTTTATTGTGAATTTTAACAGGCCTTCATGAGAGCCAACTAAACATTTTAATAGTGTTGTGACTTCCAAAGGACACAGGCAAAGATTTAGTTTTGAGATTTCAGTGACTTTTGTGCCATATTGCCACCCATGGTTGTCATTTCCAATTAAAAAGCAACAAAAAGTTTATTTGATTTATTTTTAAACCTTCTACCTCCTGAGTTCATCAGGTGGGTGCATCTAGAGATGGGCCAGCAGCTGAAAACTGATTTTTAATCTAAAGCTAAATAAAGATCTCTTTCTTCAAACAACACCCACCTAGCAAACTTATGTTGGCTCAGGACGAGAACCTTTCCACGGACCTCAGCCACAATCTTGCTCTTGTCTTCTGGTCTGCCATGCTCCAAGACATGCTGAATGACGTAGTTACCATACTGATCCTGTAGGAGGAAGCAGAGGCAAAAGTGAAAGCTAAATCAAGTCCAAAAACATCAATGAGACACGCTTTAATTTCCTAGGCATGCAATGATTTTCACAGCTGGTCCCAATTGGTGAGAAATAATCATGCATCTCTACGGTAACAGGCCGACGAATGAGTGACACCCCCATTTGTAGTGCGACAAATCCCCTAACGTCATCATCACTGCGGAAGGTCAGACAAAACAGATGCTGCTGGTTTGGAGTGTTGACGACCTGACAAGGCAACCAACCGCATCTTTGCCCCTTCAGAAATGGGTGATAGACAGTTATGGGTGTGATTTTAGTGACAAGATGGAGACAAAACTCATCTGACCAAGGCCCTGTCCACGCGTAGCCGGGGATCTGCCAAAACGTAGATATTTTTCTACGTTTTGGCCTGTCATCCACACGAAAACGGAGTTTTTTCACATGAAAACGGATCTTTTTAAAAACTCCGGCCAAAGTGAAGATCTGCGTTTTCTCCATTTTGGGTGTCTGCGTGTGGACAGACAAAACCGGAGTTTTAAGGTCCGCAACGTCACTTTCCGCGACAAAAAAATGCTGACATCACGTGTGCGACCTGTGTTTACACTAGCCGACAGCATGGATGTCCTCAGAGCTGCGCTCGCTTTATCAATTGTCCAAGCGCTTTTTGCTTGTTTGTTTTTGCAAGCGGAATTACTGCTCCTTGCGGAAGACCACAGACGAAGGACGAGGTTAAGAACGGGGGAAGTACTGCCGCCTACAGGTCTGGCATGTCCTTAACAACGTATTTAACCGGGTACGTGTGGACAGAGTTTTTTTTTAAAACGCGGTGGTGTGGATGCAAGTTTTTGGAGGGGCGGATATTCGTTTTTACAAAAACCCGGCTACGTGTGGACTAGGCCCAAGTAAAAAAAAAAAACCCTAATGAACACTTATGGTAGACAACGTGACCTCCACCTCCGACTTTATAATATTTGCCTAGTAAAATCATTTCTGGTTCAATCAGCTTTCACAAAACAACATTTTTTTTTACTTCAAGGATTTGAGGTTTAAGGAATTTGTCAAACAAAAATCCAATTCTCAGAAAATCCAAACAACATAACTTCAGTAAAATCAGGTTTTAAAGAGGAAAACTGGTTGATCAGAACATGCTGCAGGCAAACATAAGATAAGACAGCAGGTAAGTGTGCATCTTGTAAATCATGCCGAACAAAGCAAAAGAGAGGAAAAAAGGGAAGAAAAAAGGCAGTTCAGTGAGTTAGAGGTTTGTAAAAGTTGTAAATTTGAAAACTGTTAAAAAAAGACTTTTTACAGAGAATAAAAGGGGGAAACAGGAGGAGGAAGGGGACATCCGCGAGAGAGGCAAATTGCTCTGACCTTGAACAGTGCATCACGGGACACTGTATAATATGTTTTGGGTGTCATCTCCAATGAAACGCCTTGATATTTCTAGATGGAATAAGTGAGGGGGGGGGGCAGGGTGGATGTTTAAATCACAAATGACCAACAATACAATCACAGTAGGGCTGGGCGATATGACGATTTTAGACCGTTTTACGATCTACACATCTGACGGTCTGTCATTTTTGAGAGACCGTTTTATCACGATTCACAGCTCTGCTGTTGAATTTCTGCCTCTGAATGAAAATGGAACTTACCTCAGGCGAATGACACACCTTTGTTTGACCCTTAACCAATCAAAGTGAGTCATAGTAATATATTAGTGCCCCCGCTTGTTTTCACCTGTGTGTGAACAAACATGGCTTCGGCCGCGGCTGAGCGACAACGAGGTTTTCGTTCCGAAGAGGAACGCAGGGTTTCCTTAGCGTGCGGCGCTAACAACTTAGCGACGTGACATGTCTCGGAGAAAGCGTAAAAACACGTTGGACGCTTCTTCTAAAGCAGGAAAATAACACCGCTTCTTAAGCAGAGCACGATGTCGCCTCGGCTCGTCCACCCTCTGCCGAGCCGGTGTCGGTACTGGACTGAGCTCGGTCGCTGGAGCTGCCCCGTGACTGCCTGATGGAAAACCAGCGGGTTTCATCAGACTCGTAGTTTCTTGTTTTTGCTGGGGACCCCTGTATTTTACCGCTCCCTCCTGCAGTCTTCCCCTATTAACATTTAAAATGATTCTGTAAACTCCGTGTATCAATAGAAACAATCTCTGCCTCTGCCAGCTGCAGTAAATGTAGTTTCCAAATAATAAGAGGTGCATTCATCTGTATATCTCCTTTGATCCGCATTAGTGATATTTTCAGCACCAGAACAGTGAAGCAAAGAAAGATTCCTGAGTTTGTTAGTAATTTTATTTATTAGGTGCATCTAACCTGTTCTATTTTTCTCTGAAATGAGATCAAATCAGTGCTTCTATGGGTTGTCTCCACTCTGCACTGGAAATTTTTACTTTATTTAGAGACTTGTTGCAGAAAATATTCAGAATGCGCAGTTATTTGCTACCACAAGCGATCTCTGGTCCAGCCGCACATCAGAGCCGTATTTGAGCTTAACTATCCACTACATGAGCAACTGGGAGCTACATAGTATTTTGAACAAGTTAATGTTTGCACAATACGTTTGCAATTGACATGTTTGCACTTTAAATATGTTTACGATTTTAATTTATGTTAAGTTACTTGAAAACCGAGAAAAACTGATTTTTGTAATTGTTTCTCTCAGGGCTTTTATCATCTCTGGTGTGAGTTTAAAATATAAGTGTGTTAGCACTGTGTTGATTATCCCTAATATGAATAAATGTTTATTTATTCAATGTTTCTCTTCTTTAATACGCAATTGAAGTTATGCTATTCATGGATAAAAAATCGTGATAAAATCGAAATCGTGATAAAATATTGGAAAAATCGTGATATTCTATTTTTGCCATATCGCCCAGCCCTAAATCACAGTCATCTTTTACACTTTAAACCTAGCAAACCACAGCTGCACGAGAACAACCACAGGTGGAAAAACATGGAATGTTCAAACATGGAGGGGGCGTGCAAATCCACGAGACGCGTCTCAGATCACACCTGGCTAATAGATCACAGGTGAAGAAAACGGGACGGACTGGAGACGGGTGTGCTCACCTGGCCCAGTTGGTCAGAGTGCTGATGCAGCTCTTCCAGGATGGGAAGGGTTTGCTCCTGAGTGCAGTGCTCCAAAATCCTTTGGATAACTCTGCAGCCGTAGGGGTGTGTGGAAAGCACAAACACCTAGAGGAATAGAAACAATAATGAAGAGAACGGCAACGATCCGTTAGCGCCATCGGTTCTTACTTTTCATATCCCAATAGTCTCACCTGTCCCTGGAAGGCATCGATAATAAACTGCAGGGCCTGAGGCTGGACACATTCGATGCACTTCTGCACCACATGGTTCCCGTTCTGGTCCTTCACACATTTCAACACGTGTCCGTCCAGCTCACGTACAATGTCACTCTGGGAAGAACAAAAATCAGGACAAGGGAACAGAAATCACTAAATCTTAAGTAGAATTTTAAACACCCAGTTGATTCACAATAATGGAAATCGATCGAAAAGCAAAAACTACTTAAAAAGTCAAAGCTCACTTACAATTACCTGCTGGTCTGAGGAAATTGACTCCAAGGCTTTCTGAATGACCCTGCAGCCGTACATCTGCAAAGCCAGAGGGAGGACGTGCCCACGGATGCGAGTTGCCAAAGCAAGCTTCTGGTCAGCACTTCCAAACTACACACACACACACACACACACACACACACACACACACACACACACACACACACACACACACACACACACACACACACACACACACACACACACACACACGAGTATGAGTAACGTCTGTGAGGTAAGGGAAGGAGAAAAGAAAAAAGTATCAGTTCAAACCTCAAAGAACTTCTGGATGACGTAATTCCCAAACACATCAGTCATCAGTTGATACGCTGCTTGGAGAATCTCTCCGAACACCATCTGCCTCTCAGCGGGAGTGGCTCTCTCAAGCTTCTGCTGAATGAATCTTAAAATAAAACAGAAATTAAACGAAATCTCTCCAATCTTCTGTTAACGCAAACTAAATCCAAGTCTAATTCAGCTGCATTTGTGAACATTTCACCTGGATCCGTGCTGGTCTTGGGAAAACTCCACCATGTGTCCTGGCAGGTCACGGAGCTGCAGGTTTGGGAAGCGGTTGTTCCTAAAATCTTCCAGCAGGCGGCTGCGCCCAGAAGGCATGACGTCAGAGCGGCTGTAGCGGGGCCGGGAGGGCGGGAACAGCTGGCTGCTGGAATTGAACAGGCTGGATGTGCCGCCGGTGCTGCGGTATTTGGCCTCAGCTCCGGGAGCGGCAGAAATGTAACGCCCACTGCCGTTAGTCAAGCCACCTAGGATTACACAGGGACAGGGAATTTGAATGAACTGGAAATAAATACGATTTGAATTATTTTGCAACAAAACACTGTAGTTTAGGGCTGAATGAGTTTAGGAAAAGGTTGAATTGCAATTTATCTAGAAGAAATAGCAATTTCAGTTCAATTCACAATTTTCTTCAACTCAAGGTTAAACACATTATTTATAATATAGAATAATATATTTTATATAATTTATATTATATTTTAAATAGTCATACAACTAAATAATTTAAAGCTTTTTATTTTTATCTCCCATTATTTTTTAATGTGCTTGTGAAGCAACTAGTGATTTTTACCTAGAGAGGTGCTTTATATAAAACATGTTCTTATTCTACTTAATGAAAGGAGGAAGAGGAAATGTAAACAAAATATTATTTCCACTAGGGCTGCACGATATTAGGAAAACCTGCGATATTCGATAACAGTGCTTAATATTGCGATATTACTCACGATAAATGAACAAATACTAAAGTATGCAGTGTTGATGTCGTCTGGCGTGTGACGTCTGCTCTGGGTTCAAAGCAAACAAAAACGAATGCATGAATTCCATTACAACATAACATTTTTATTGCAAAAATATGCAGCTGCACCTGCTACTGTATTAGCAGCAAAACAACAAACTGCATGCATGCAGTTTCTCAGTGACTTTAAAACATCACCTCCACCATAAAACTTTTTCTGATGCTCCAAACACAGAAAAACATCCCTTACCAGGGTTTTTTGAATAACTAGAAAAATCAGAAAATTACTTTAAATGTTAAATAATAGTTAACATCACTTAAATGCAACAGCAAATTCTCTCATTGCTACTGAACATTTTCTCCACTTATGTGGTTATGATATAAGGCTGTTGCTGCTATTGGGAATTGAACTGTGCTGGGCCAAACTAGGAGAAAATTTAGATTTTTTGAGGGAAAGAGAAAACAATTGTCTACCTTTCAGAAGAGGAACTGTCAAAAAACTGCATGGAAAATATGTGAAAACGTTTGTTTTTATCCCCAAATTGAACAAGTTTACCTAGATCTTAAAAAGCAGCTCAGATGATGAAACTGCAACTATGATTCTGATAACAAGCTAACAAATTGAACTAAAATAATCGGCTAGCAGAGCTTCTGACTGACAGTTTATGTGCAGCAGCAAATCAACTATCCTGATTAACAAGGTTATAAAAGCTCATAAATGAAAAATCACTTTGATGTGTGGGGGAACTTTTCCAGGCCCTCTTTAGCAGGGTGGGACTGGAAGGAGAGTGCTGTAGCCTTTTAGCTGGAAGCTAACCGGAGCCTGGGGCCAACATCACCACCCGGTGGAACACTAGTGACATGGAGGTAGGTGGGTTGGTTCACCGGCACGTGTCGGAGTCAGCCCGGTAAAAATGATTAACGACACCGAGCGGACTCACGTTCACGTTTGAAAGCAGCGCTGACTCCAGAAACCTCAGCACAAAGTGCGTTCGTTGCTCTGAGCCAGCATGACGAACAAGGGAACGGCGCCGCTAATGTTCAGGTGTTGCTTTCCATCCTAAGGGTCTACGTAGGGGGCGGGCATATTACATGAACGGACCCATCTGATTGCCGCATATCAGAAGGACTACATTTGATAGGTCAAATAATACTTCCGTGTACAAAACAGAGCTGGTTTACAAAAAGTTGATGTTTGACACGGATGGAAATGTTGAACCAAACATTTATCGCCGTTTTAGACGTGCTTTGCGATGGGCCTATCGCACGTCCTGTTATCCTGATGACGATAATTTTTCGATATATTGTGCAGCCCAACAACAGTTTTCCTGCGTTGTTTACCAAGACAGGCTGCCTGGACGTTTTTCGGTGCCGTCCGAACTCACTGAAAAATCGCTCTAACCGACACGTCCTGAAACCATTTGCACATTCAAGTCCGCTGAAGTTTGCGACTCGAGCAGACGCTGAAGTAAAAACCAGCCTTTAGCGTTGTTGTGCTGACCTCTGCTATGCTGCTGGAGACGTCTCTCTCTCTCTTTCCCTCACTCACCCACGGTGCTGAGAGACAGCACCCGCTGCAGACAAACGGCCACAGCCATTATTACTAGCTGTAGCAGCGCTATTTTTTGAAAAAATAAAACAGGGAAGGTAACCAAAAGGTGCAGCTCTGCCAGCTGAACAACTGGGCTCAGCTCTGATACACCCCCCCTCCCCTGCGCTGGCTGCCGCCGCGGTAACACAGGGGAAATCCCCAGATGTCTACAAAGTTGACAACAGATCCTGGATCCATCAGGAGCGCTACAAAAAAAAAAAAAAAAAAAAAAAAACACAGCTTTGGCGATCATGTGATCGCGTTGTTTAAAATTGCAATTTCGTTCCGAAAATGATTAATCGTTCAGCCCTCCTGTAGCCAATCACAGGAAAGGGAGACAGCAGAAAAGACATCTCAAAAACGCGACGAGACTTACCTAGGTGAAGGCTGGAAGAGGAGCCGTGGGAGGAGGGCAGAGAAGGTGGAGGGGTGAGTGGGGAGTGACCTGGGGTGAGGCCAATAGGACTGGGTGAAGAGGAGTAACCCAGGCTGTTGTAGAAGGGCTGGCCGATGGGGGTTAGACTACTGCCGCCCCGCTTGTATAAATCAGAGCTCGCCAACAGGGAGTCCCTGCGAGATACGCTGCTACTGTTAGAGCTGGAAACTGTGAGAAAAAGAAAGAACAGGCTTAATACAACAGGACGCATCTAAACCACAATGTCAGACAGTTTCTATCCTACTCACCTGAAGAGCCGAAGGCTCCTAGAGCAGAGCCCAAGCCCACCCCGAGAGAGCTGCCTGTGCTGCTGAAGCCCAGGGAGGAGCTCGGTGGTGGAGCAGAGTTGTGTGAGAAAAGGGAGCTACTCTGGGAGGTGTTGGGGACTGATCCGGACCCGTAGAAAGAACTGGAGGGCAGGCCGCTGCTGGGTGGGGGAGCTTGCTGCTGCTGCGGCTGAGGTTGAGGCATGGAGCGGTACAGCCCATTGGCCGGGGGTCCAGGCATGTTGTTACCAGATCCAGATGCAGACACGGCTGCTGCTGATGGGAGAAACGAGTGTGCTACGTTAGTTCTTTAATAGTGACACCAAACCTCAGCAGCAACGTTGTGTGCAACTGCACCAGATAGGCTCTTACCAGCTTGTGCCGCTGCTGCTGCAGGGTTGATAAGGAGAGGGGTCTGGACTAGGCGAACATGCCCACCTAGACCAGTTCGGGCTCCTGGGCCCATCACTAAGGCTCCAGTTTGGTCGTAATAGGCAGCAGGGGCCAACACCTGATAACCTGAAAGGATCAAAAGGAAGAGCAGAACATAAATAACTGGTATGATGCTGAGATGAATTGCAGTTATGGGTGCTGAGTGTAAACCTCCACTAACCAGGCATCCCTGCATAAGCCAGAGCAGGGTTTGCAGCAGCTGCAGCAGCTAAAGATTCCTGCTGACTTTGTTGTCCTTGGCTCGGTGTAAGAGGTCGCTGGTTTGTTCCTGTGCGCATCACCTGGAAGAACAACGGAGAAAAAAAAAAACTAATTTCTGGACCAAAATGTATCTAAACCTTCCCCCTTTAAGTATTAATTAGAATTCATCAACAACTTTCCACAACAAAATACATAATTACTCTCAATGCTAAGAATGACAGAAGAGTTTCTTGCATCCGTTTTGTGTAACAGTCTAAAATATATGCACACAAATCAAGTTCTGAACGAGACCAGCAGAGGTTAGAAAACACATCCTACCTGCGGTTGGCCTGGTCCTGGTCCCTGATTGGATGCCTGCTGATTAGCTGAGTGATTGGCAGTTGATGCAGCTTGTTGCTGGAAAAGGTTGGCTGGATACACGCCCCAGGGAACGCCATAGTATTGTGGTGGAACAACGGTGGGGCCTTGAAACAAATTATACAAACACTAGACTCTTGAGAAATCTTTATGCAAATCAGGCTGGCGCAAAGGAATAATGCATGAAAAGGTGCATCACCTGCAAGCGTGGCTGCTGCTGCCAGCCCAGCAGCAGTGTAGGGGTCCGCTCCAGGGGGCGCATTAATGATGTAAGGGTTTGGCACAAAAGCAGGAGCAAGTCCAGCTGCGTGGGTGAGGAGGAAAACGGATGCAAATTAAATTTCCTTTTCAAATCTCCTAAGTTTATTTAGGCAAGGAGCCCGTCTTACCAAGATGCTGCTGCTGAGCAGCAGCCAGAGCGTATTGTTGTTGCTGAGCTGCGGTAAGCTGCTGAACAGTCAGCTGATTAGGCCTCTGGAACAACTGCAAAAGCAAAATAAAAGATCACAATCTGTTGAGCCTCCTGAGGGCTAGAAGTTATGCTTCATGCGTCCAACATACCTGCTGCTGAGAATTGTAATCAAACAAGCCCACAGGAGTTCCTGAAGAGTCCACCTGGATCTGGTTCCCAGCATAGTCGAACTGTAACGACTCCACGCCGGCCTGCTGCTCCATACCACTCATGTTCTGGGCTTCCTGGCTCTGGAAGTCCTCAGTCGAGACTTTATTTTGGACAGGATTCTGTTGCTGGAGAACATGAGGGTGGTGCTGTCCCATCATCTCCAAACCGGTCTGACTGGGACCCATCCTCTCAATGGCCTCGGTGGGGGAAGCTTGCCGGCTTCCAGGAGTCGGACTGCAAGAAGAAAGCAGGGAACCAGTCGTGTGGGTGGTTTATGCACAAACATCTGCCCCAGAAGCTTCAGAGATGGTGTTCCAACATGCTGTCGCTTTCTTTTAACTCCAGTTGCAAAAAGGTTAATCACAAATGGTTAAATATGTGTCCATTTTATTAGGATGAAATATTTTAAATGCACCATAGACTAGTGGAAAGGTCTCTTCTGTTCTCTGTTAGAAAGTGGCCTAGCAGGTTACGGGTGGGAAGGACTTTCCCCACCAAGCATGGCAATCATGCTAGCAACTGGTCACTGCAAGAAAGGAAGGTTTGGTGGCTATTTACAGCAGCAAGTTACCATCGAAGGGTCAAGAACCAAGGGGAGTTATGTGCTGGCGTTTAAACTAGTAAAGACCAACAGGCCTTTCTCCAAAGGGGGAGTTTTAAAACAGAGTATGACAGAGACAGCATGTGTCCTGTGTACAAAAAAAAATAAGTTCATCATGCAGGACAGTGAATCAGTGTGTCAATCTTATTGATGAAGACTTAGGCCCTGTCCACACGTAGCCGGGGATCTGCCAAAACATAGATATTTTCCTACGTTTTGACCTGTCATCCACAAGAAAACGGAGTTTTTTCACACGAAAACGGATCTTTTTAAAAACTCCGGCCAAAGTGAAGATCTGCGTTTTCTCTGTTTTGGGTGTCTGCGTGTGGACGGACAAAACCAGAATTTTAAGGTCCGCAACGTCACTTTCCGCGACAAAAAAATGCTGACATCACGTGTGCGACCTGTGTTTACACTAGCCGGCATCATGGATGCCCTCAGAGCTGCGCTCTGTCACTACCTGATCCATCAATTGTCCAAGCGCTTTGTGCTTGTTTGTTTTTGCAAGCGGAATTACTGCTCCTTGCGGAAGACCACAGACGAAGGACGAGGTTAAGAATGGGGGAAGTACTGCCGCCTACAGGTCTGGCATGTCCTTAACAACGTATTTATCCGGGTACGTGTGGACAGTTTTTTTTTTTAAACGCGGTGGTGTGGATGCAAGTTTTTGGAGGGGCGGATATTCGTTTTTACAAAACCCAGCTACGTGTGGACTAGGCCTTAGTTAGTAAGCTAAACTAAATCAAATGACCATTCACTTTTCATCAGACAGTTCTGAGATAACCAAGGGCTTTTTGTCCAAGATGTCCCAAAAGGTAAAACCACGGTTAGAGGACTTCTATGAAGATCTATCGAGATTCATTCAGTGGCTTCTAAGTAGGGCTGGGGGTAAACGATTATTTTTAAAACGATTATTTTATCGAATAGTCGACTATTCTAATGACTATTTAGACAATTAATCTAACGATTATTTTTCTATTGCACAATGAATAAAAACCAGAAAATCTAAATTCCTCCAACAAAATTGATAAATTGTTACTGTAAGAGAATAAACACTACAGGCCTTCCATTTTGTATAACACCGCTTTTATTGTGTTGCGGTTGGTTATGTTCTGGTGACGTGTAGAACTTGGGAGTGCAGGCTGAGAGGTGGTTGGAGACAGACTGTCTCCATGCTGCTTTGTTTTGGTCACTTATGTGTGTGAGGCAAGTGGTGTTACAACTCCTCCTGGGGAGTTTGGCTGGTGTGCAAAAAGGAAGGGACAATAACGTGGGATTTAAAAGTTAATTAAGGTAGCGTGACTCGGGTTGCGAATGACCACAGTCACCAATTCTTAGAATTGTGTGTACTGAAACTCTAAAGTCCCTCTGGGATTAATAAAGTATCTTTGAATTTGAATTTAATTTGAAAACGATGATCAGATTTATTTACAACAACAAAAAACATAAATCTTTCCATCCACAGGTTGGGAATAATAAAACTAATTCTGCCTGTAGGGAATTAAAACAAAAGTACAAATAACTAGGGACGTCCCTCTGGGCAAAGATTACAGGGTTCTGGACCAAAATAAGGATCTCCAAAGGTCCAAACTCTAAAGTGGGTGGTTAAACCAAACTCTCAAGGTGATATTTTAAACTAAACCAAAAACCAACAACACTCTAAATGTAATAAAAGGGAGATCTACACCACAAAAAAGATTAACTCTAAACCAAAACATAACAGCTTATCCAAACGCAAGAAGCTGTTAGCGAAGATGCTAACAGTAGCATTAGCAACGTTATGTTCAAGTTACCAAGTTTAAATAAACCAAAATACCCAGCAGCAAACAGACCAGCACGGAGGAGAGACTGCTACCACCAAAACAGCTCTCCTCATGTCTGAAAGAAGCTCCTTTATGAAGGGAGAAACGCTCCCGGTGATTTTCTACATCTGCGAATCGAGCCGTCGACGTCATTGACGCTTCGCTACAGCTCTACTTCTAAGAAAACAATACAGGCAATCACACAGAATTGTTTGGTCGGTTGATTGAGAAAAATTGAGAAGTCACTTGAGCTGGTGTCACTTTCTTTCTCACAAGATCCCAACTACAAATTAAAATAAACTGAGGTAAAACTACAGCTTTGGTAAAGACAACAATTTCATCTTTATCACTTAATTTATTTAAAGAGTTGATTTTACTGATCCTGGTTTAAAAATGATTTTTAAGGGTTTATAAGAAGTCCTACTTGAAGTCTTTGCAGTCTCTGTCCATGCCATTCAGCAGACCTCTTCCATTAGCCTTAGCCGGATCACCGTCCTCTCCAACCTTCATCTCTGGGTTTTTGTCTTCTTCAAAAGGCGACACCTTCTCTTGTACGTCGATCTTCTCTCTCCCATCTTGGTCGGGATCGCCTCCACCCTGAATTCATTTTCAAAAGTTACTTAGGACGACCAATCCCCACATATAAACAGAGCAGCCACAGCCAGAGCGGACTCACAAAGCCCCCGTTTCTGTAGCGTCCATCCATCTTGTCCCCAGGAGAAGAGCTCAAGACATACTCCACCATGCTCACTCCAAGGCCTCCACCCTCTGAGCGGGGTGAAAGCACAGAATTGGCATCCCCGTTCCCATGGAAACTCTGGCCTGGTCGCCGCTGCACCATGATTGGCTGAGACACCGAATGATCTGAATAAAAAGTGAATTAATGTCAAATACCGTAACAGTGGCGGTAAAACCTGTGGAAACTTCTGTTTATTTACAATAAATTTTGATTATTTCCATAATCACAAGATTTAAAGCTCTGGTCTAAATGGGGAAAAAAAAGGGGAGCCACTCACGGGATGATCCCCACGCGTTGTCCCGCCACTCCTCTCCAAGAAGCATCCCTTTCCTTCCATCCTTTGCCAGCTCATCAGAATCCCAGATCTTTTTTGTTGGCAAAAGCTTTGAAGTAAAAAGTACATTTTCTAAAAATCATTTACAGTATTTATACCCTTACTAAACTGCTAGCTTCACCCTTGAGAGCACCTTTTAATCCAACTAACTACCACCAGAGCAGTGTGTTTTTATCTATGTACACCTTTGGCAGCAGCATCAACTGCAGGAAGCTCAAAGTTTAACATCAAGGTGAAAAAGATCAAATAATTAAATTAGGTTACCTCTCCCATTCCTCGGGACTCTAAAGCAAGAGCTTGAAAGTTGTAATTCATTTCATCCACAGCTCGAACCTGAGATGCAGACGTAGAAAAAAAAAATTACTAGAGGATCGCCAATATAGTCAATTTTTTCTATATTGGCCAAAATTATTCTTAAAAGCCGATTAAAAATAATAATAACCAGACAACTGTGTGGCCAACGGCCGCCACTACTAGACTGAAGAAAGGACCCGAAGGTCCCAAACTGTTTTATATATTGGTCAGCCTCTATAAATAACTTTAAATAATCAAAAAAAAAATTCATTAAATTTTTGAATAAATATTTAAACAGCTTTTTGATTATAGGTGAATGTGAAACACAAGAAATTTTGTCTAAAGATCTGACTCAAATGCCATAACTAGAGAAATCAAATTCATACAATTTTAACTAATTGAAAGAGGGGGAATTTGACTGGATAAGTCTTGTTCTATTAAAAATAAATGCCTTTAAGCAAACAAATGAAAAGAAAAAAAAGAAAGATAAGTATTTTAATTGACCATTAAATTCCTGTTGCCAATTTTCTCCTAAATACAGTCTGTTTGGGGACTTAAAATGAAAAGTTGTGGACATTAAAGGTTAAGCGATGTCTGTTTGTTTTCACAGGCCTATTGAAAAGATCAAATTGTATTCAGGAAATCCAGTCGGAGATGAAAAATATATGTTTGAGGAATTCTCAGAACCAAAACACAAGATAGCAGCTAATATACACTGTCAGACAGGATATTACACTCTCTTCATGTTGAGTGATTCGTGCTCCTGTAATGACAAAAACTGTGTTTTACAAGGTCAACAGAGTCCATATGATTATTAAAAACAACATTTCTGAAAATTGGGGACTTGTGTGATGCAAAACTGTCAATGCAAAACAGAAATCGTTCCAAAAGCTTGCCTCCTGTCGAAGGCCTTTTACCTGATCCACGTGATTAGAATCTCCAGTTGGCCAGCGATGTTTATTAGGTGTGCAGCCTACAAGCTGCTCTCCAGGTTGCCTCTGAAAAAAGTATCCAACTGTGGCATCGTCCTGAGACCTCCCACTCAGCGGCGCCTGCAGCGTACCTGGGGTTGGGTTTGAACTTCTGTCCATGCCCTGTAAATGTGGTCCTCCAGGAGCCTGCCCAGCTCCCCCAACGGTGGTTAGGGGACCTCCAGCATGAAGTTGGACAACCCCAGATTCAGGAGCCCCATTTGCATGCAGCATCCCACCTCTTGTCTCCTGCCAGGCCACGTCATTCATACCTAGGATGCTGCATGGAATGCTCATTCCACGGGAAAGTCTAAAGAAGCATGACAGCATTAAACAATTGAGAATTGTATTGCCATATTGGGTCCTGTTAGTTAAATCTAAAATTTTCAATAATAAAAAGGCACCATATTGTATGTCAGCAGCAATCATCAGATGTCAAGTATAAAGCTGAAAAATGTTTTGGTGATTAGATCAAATTTAGCCAAATTACATACTTTGTTCCTCATTTAACTAAGAACACAATTATCATACGTCTGGATCTAATGTGACAAAAATCTGACGGTTTCCAACAGTGAGAGCTACCTTTAGAAAAAGGTGACGATTATAATTTTAAATATTCTTAGTAAATCATTAGCCAACCCAAAATTTGGGGTTCACTTAAGTAAAGAACGTATAGGGACTACAATAATTAATTTATTCACTAGCACCACATATAACGCGCAAATTCATAAACATGGTTGTTCAAATATTTTTAACAAAAGCTGTTTTTACTAAACGAGTAAATGGGCGAGGTTAAAAGTCTAAAAAAAGCAAAGCTGATCAAGGCAAGGGAAGACATCGAAAGCTAAAATGTTAGCCAAACGCTAATTGCTTGCTACAAAGCTAATATTACGCTACTGCTAATATCAAGTTTATAGTGGATAAAGGGTCAAATATGCACTGATAAACAAGTTAAAATCGAGTACAACAAACACTGCGGCAGAGCGTCAGGAAGATGTAACAACGTTACACCCGAAATTAATTACTAAACCGTGGTGAAAAATCTAAGTAGAACCTCTACCGAACTAGCCAACAAGTCCACGGCTAAAACAAGCCAATTTGGCTGCTTTAACTTGGTGAAACCGCAGATATTTATTTTAAAATGCTAACACCCAGTGTAGTTTAATCACTATACAAACAAAAAAAATTCTTAAAACAAACAGCAGCTGTGGAACAGGAACTAATATTACAAACCCGAGTATGAATTAGCAATTTTCACGGCTAGCCAGCTAATGCTAATGGCAGTGGGCCCGCTGTGTTTATTATTGGTTTTGTTTCGTTGGACATCAAAATAAAATGTTTTTATTCAGCACTGTAATACTGTCAGCAAAAATAATCCCGTTACCGATGTGTACCGAATGGTGCTCTCTTGACACTATACATACATCACTAGTGGATAAAGTCACATTTTCTGTGTGCAGCAAGCCAAAATAAACCGTGTCAGCTAACGTACGAGCTAATTGCCAACTACTTGCTGTTGTCTGAGCTTAAAAACATCAGCCAAACACTCAACGGCTAAACAACATGGCCCCCTCAAGTCCCAAACAGAAGGGCCTTTACCGCTAAAACAAAAGGGAAATACCCACACCGAGGTAACCGTCTTTAAAGCTGCCCTTATACGGGTCTTGTGTTTTCTTTATTGTGAACAAATACGAGGAAATACTCACTCTTATTGTTTCGATGGAGGCTATGTGCTTGTTGCACGCCGTCAACCCTATTCTATTTTGTTTTGTTGCCTTGGAGAGAGCGGTGATTTTTAGCAAGGCTTGTTCAATGCTAAGAGTTTGCCTACGCTGGTGCCCCCTCCCTGTAAAGAGCGTGAACTACGTAGTCATAAATGTATAGCAAGTCAACTTGTCATATAATATCAAACTGGAATCAAAACAAATCTAGAATATTTCATTTTTACTCATTCAAAAAGACAATTTCAGCTTTTCAGAATTTCGTTGTACTATCAACATCAAATATGTCTGCTCCCATCACTGACTTCCTGACAGATGGAAAGCAGCAAGTGAGTCTATGGAAGAACGCCTCAGACATGCAGACCCTAGCACCAGTTCTCTTCAGTGTTCTGTTCTTTCTCTGCACTTCTACAGAATGGAGGTAAAACAGCTGGTGTGCTGGTGCAGCTACAACAACCTGGTGCTAAACACACAGCGGACAGTTAGACAGAGGTTATTGTGGACTTTAGGAAGAACACAGCCCCACTCCCTCGCATAACCCTCTCTAACACTCATCACGATTTTGGACTCATGCTGCTTCCTGGGTACCGCCATATCCTAGGACCTCAAATGGGAGCCCACCATAACCTCCGTCATAAAAAAGGGCAGCATCTGGCATAGGTCAGACGATGCCCGCACTGCCCACTCACCACAGCCATGGAATACACCTCATCAACACTCACTAACAGTATATTGGAGCAGGCGGAGGGAGACTAGGGGTCTTAGCACACCTCTGTAGTCGCTTGGCTTCCTGGGGCTGGAGGCTAGGAGGGAGATCCGGCCGTCCGGTTGGGGTCTGGGGTGGTGGGTTGCTGTGCTCAGGGTTGGGCGGGGGAGCCTGCTCATCAGCACCTCCAGCAGAAAGGGTCGAACTCTGGGAACTGGTAAAGGTTGTACCCCATGTGCCGCAGTACCGGGACCAGAGTGAATAGGGTGTGTATGGGGAGCATGAGTGGGTGTCCGGCATGCATTTTTGTAAGTCTTTGGTTGTATGTGCATGTGTGAGCATGAGGGAGGGAGTGTGTGACTGTGTTTGTGTATGACTGCATATGTCAGGTGGGGCCTTTGACTCCTCCCCTCTCCTGGGACTTCTTTTGATGATATAGATCTTCGTCTCCCCTCTCCCTGCCACACCTGGTGTGGGGTGTGGTGCCTTGGTCTGCCTGGGTCGTGGCTCCCGGGTCAGGGAGTTTAAGATTTTTGGCGTCTGCCTGACCAATCCTGGTGGCTGCCTGGTGGGTTCTGGGTTCCTGGGCTCTGCTGGGTCCCCGGCGGGGGTGGTTGCCCCTGGGTCCTGGGTCGCTGGGTCCCGGGCTCGGCCGGCTAGGGGGTGGGAGGCTGCAGGTGGGCCTGTGGGCTTGCCGCTGATATCTCCTGGGACTCTGCCGGCTGCTGATTGTGGCCCCCTGGGGCGATCCTCTGCGCCTCTCGAGGGGAGCGGGGTCTTTTCTGGTTGCAGTCTCCTTGGGGTTCCTGTGTTCTGGGGCAGCTCCTGGATCTCTGGGACTTGGAGCTCCCTCCGTCTCCTGCACATCTTTAGAGGGCAGATCTGTGACTCCTCTGTTCAACGCTCCTATAGAGAAACCTTACATAAACAAGCGTGTGTACACACACAGGTGCTCACATGGTGCTCTCAGAAATGATAAATGACCCGCACTTGTATAGCGCCTCTCAGAGTAAGGACTCCAAAGCGCTTTACACTACAGTGTATCATTCATCCATTCACACACACATTCACACACTGATGGTGATGAGCTACAATGTAGCCACAGCTGCCCTGGGGCGCACTGACAGAGGCGAGGCTGCCGAGCACAGGCGCCACCAGTCCCTCCGACCACCACTAGCAGGCAACCTTCCGATTACTGGACAACCCACTCAACCTGTTGAGCTACTGCTGTCCCAAGTATGGACTTGGCACGTTCAACACATGTCTTAAGGCTATGGTGGGCACTTAATGCACTGTGATTTATTATTGTGTGATTGTTCAGTTAAACAATGTTGATTATATATTTCTTCATCAAGTTGGCGCAGTGGTAGCTTGATCTTGTTGTATTGTTGTTGTGTCCCATTTTTTTCTTCTCTCCTTCTGCAGGTCTAGAAGCAGACTCTTGTTCATTATTGTTTATTTTTGTGGACCTTATTCCTATTTATTGATGTCAATTCAGTGATAATTTTGGTTTTTTAAAGCACATATTTTATTAGTTAAATTAGAAACAATATCATTACAATTCAAGAACTTGCTAAAAAGCACTAAAAACTACATTTTCCTCAGTAATTTATCAATCAGTATCAGTATCCTGCTCCCCCTTCTTCTAGATCAGATCCATTTGCGATCATCACAACACTTTTCACAGTAGTATTTGGTTTTTTGATTCCTCAAGGGGGGTGGGGGTAAAGCAACACTTGCACCAGGGCCCAGCTCGCTACGCCACTGCGCTCCTGTGACCTTCTTCCCCATTCTGCTGAGCGAACCGGGCAGAAGCAACAGGGCACATCTAACTGCATTCCCCTTTCCAAACGTTTTTCCGCATCAGACAGGCATTAATAACCATTATTATTACTAACCGCTGTCCAGATGTCTTATTTTTAACAATTTCCGGTTCAAATTTGTGGGGAAAACAACCAATTTCCCAAATTTGTATTTGTGGGATTAAAAAAGCGGAACACAAACAGGACTCGCTTTCAAAACGCAAATCACAAAAACTCCGCGTGATTTCTCATGACGTGGTGCGGTTCGGTAGATGCGGCTGATTCTGACTCGGGTGGGTCCTCCTCGTGGCTCTATGCCCCTCCTCTTCAGGAGGATCCAATCATCCTCCGCCTTCACACGCCGTGACCTCACCTCCTCATTTCCGATTGGATTGCTATATTTAGGAACCCACCTTCGCTTTATAAAGAAGATAGCTACTGCTAAGAGAGCTAGGATTAAAACAGCGGCTAACTTCCTGTCGGACGAATCTGTGAAGAAGAGGGTTTGCGGCTGACGGCGAAGGGCGAGCTGGAAATGGCAGACATACGACGGAAACTCGTGGTGGTGGGAGACGGCGCAAGTGGGAAAACGTGTCTGCTGATCGTCTTCAGCAAAGACGAGTTTCCTGAGGTGTATGTTCCGACTGTGTTTGAGACATACGTGGCGGACATCGAGGTGGACAATAAGAAGGTCCAGCTAGCTTTGTGGGACACGGCCGGACAGGAAGACTACGACCGACTGCGCCCGCTCTCCTACCCGGACACCGACGTCATCCTGATGTGCTTCTCCGTGGACAGCCCGGACTCGTTGGAGAACATCCCCGAGAAGTGGGTGCCCGAGGTCAAACACTTCTGCCCGAACGTGCCGATCATACTGGTGGCCAACAAGCGGGATCTGCGCAACGACGAGAACGTGAAGAACGAGCTGTCTCGGCTGAAGCTGGAGCCCGTGAAGACTGAGGAGGGCCGCGCCATGGCCGCGCGCATCGGGGCGCACGACTATGTGGAGTGCTCTGCGAAAACCAAAGAGGGGATCTGGGAGGTGTTCGAGACGGCCACGCGGGCAGCGCTCCAGAAACCATCCAAAGGTGGTTGTTTAAACTGTTGTGTGTTGGTGTGATGCGCAGGACACGTTTCCTTCCGCTGGGGTCCCCCGCCTTCCCTGGACATGTTGGGACTAATTCCGCTGGGCACTCCCATTGACGCCTTGGGCAGAATTATAACCAGTGATCGCAAAAAGTTCAAAGCACACTTGACTGTCATTGATCTGGCAACCTGTGTGTACATACGTGTGTGTGTGATGCACTGGTAGCAACTTCCTCAGACTGCCTGAAGACACAAAAACACACAGGAATGTTGTTGTTACTGCGGACAAGGCTTGGCTTTAGGCTGGTTTGTGCTTCAGTGTTTGAAAAGGTTTATACTTTTTGTCATATGGAGCAAAAATGCACTCTTATCAATATCTTATGTGTTACAGCAAGACTGTTTGTGAAATAGCACACCATTTCCTAGTATTTCAACCCAACACTATTATACGTGTTTTGGTTGCAATCTTTAAGGTCTTTCTTGACAGATTCTGCTTACTTGCAGCTTATTTAACTTGTCAAAATTAAGAAAATACTACTGGAGTAGATTTAGTGTTTTTTACATTTTTCTGCTGTCTTTGAGTCCGCGCCACACCCTCCGTTGGTATTAAACAACAATTCAACAACTCAGTCAGGAGTTTGTCATAGTGTATTTTTATTGTATGACAGTAACACTATTTTTTTTTAAAGATTGTCCAAATTCCAAATATAAGTTTTTGTGACGCTGTAATTGTACTTCGGCACGTCCAAACTGTGGGTTGGGGGCCATTTGTGTCCAGCATTCTATCTCTCAGCAGGCTGCAGATGTAGATCAACACTTTTTATGTTCTTTTTCAGCTTAAAGTAATTATTTTAAAATAAAAAAAGTGCTAACATTTGTGGCCTTAAAGAACTTGACAATTCCTGCGCTTATCTTGAAGAGTTTGGACGTCCCTGACCTAGACTGTATTAAGTCCTCTCAATGTCTTCCATTACGACTGTGAATGTACTTCTAATTTATTTGGCTAAAAACTTTATAGGTACAGAAAATAGTGATTGAGTCAACAATGGTTGTGAACAAAGATCAGCTCATCCATGACTTCCTCGGTCATTTGCAACTGTTTTCATGTGAGGGTGCACAGAGGAGTGTTTTTCCAGTGATGACTATGAACGGTGATGGCAGATGCTGAGTTGCTACACTGGTGATGCTGTGTAAAAGCCTTGGTGGAGGTTCTGCATTTTTAGCACTGATCTAACTCCTCCATGTTCTGTTGCTGGGCTTTTTGCTGACTCACAGGACAGGAATGCATTGTGCTGGACTGGTCCATTTTTCCCACACTGGCTCCGCTCCTCATGTGCCTCTGATTTCCAGTGCTGTCAGGCAGACGTAATTGTGCCGTTTTTAGTCTATTTTTCTAAAAGAACAGTGACGCTGAATGTGACAAACCTCTCTTTTTGTGTTAGAATTGTATATTTGAATAAATGTCAATTTTTGAGAGGTAAAATGATGCAAGTGCAAGGGAACAAGTGCTGCTGTTAACACAAATAAAAATCTTTTTAATTCTTTGACATGCTTTTTTTATTCTGCATGTATCTAGAGAAAGACCAAAGTGTAATTCTCAAATCGTATTTACCCTCAATTCAAAGCTTTTAAACGAAGAAAGATATTATTTTAGCATTTCATTTTTTTCATCTAGCCACATGTTTATTATTTAATACATCTAAATAATGTGATTCAGGCACTATTCACGTCAGTTTAACAATTTGATAGTTTTTGTTAAATGTGTTCCATTTCTGCTCATAAAGACCCCTTTGATACAGTATTTTATAAATGTCACCCTTTTAACATCCTCCAACCAGATGCTAAATACAAACGTTTCTTTTTAGTTTCACAATAAGCAAGCTTAAAGTGACAATATGTATTTTCCCTGGTGATGGGGTGCAGTAGATACCAAAATCATTGCAAGCAAGCAGTATTTTTGTGTTTGAGTAAGACCTTACCAACGGATGGCCATTAGGGTCAAAAATCCCTTCAAAACTTCCAGCAAAATGACAAGCACACCAGACTATTTCTTTACTAGAAATGAGTGAAAATGTAATTGTGTAAAACATTTATGAATGGCCAAAATTTTGTAACTGTTTGTTACAAATCAGTAAATGCACTTTGTTCTCACAGGCTCCCATAGAAAGAAACATGGCGTCTAATGTTGCATTGCTCAGAGACTTAGGGTGTTTCTCAATGACAAGGTGCCTGGCCTTGCGAGGCAATGTCTTGCGAAGCCAGGCGCCTTGCTTACGAGGACACTGTCCTTCCTTGGTCAAAGAAAATTGTTAAATGGAACAGACTTGCATCACGTGACCACGGCGGTCACATAACGTCACGTGACACAGGAGATAAAGTTATATTTTATATGAATTAGTTTCAATATAAATATATAATGAGCCTTTTACTTTTGAAATTGTGTATATGTTTGTTGTATTAAAAATATAAGTGAGTTACTACCCGCTAGCCACCGAAGCTGCAACTACTAAGCAACTAACCAATAATAGATAACTTCTTTGGATCTAAATAAAACAAACATTTTAAATTAGCTGACTTACTTTTAAACTTGAAAATTGTCCCCGAAGTTGCTGCCGGCTTCTGATCCGCCGTCCATTTGAAAATACCGCGGTGTATTCTGGGTACTTTTTGACCAAGGCTAGGCTACAAGACACCTCCCGTGTATCCTCGCTCAGCTAGCTAAATGGCTAACAAACGGAGAACACATGCCTCGGTAGAACATGAACATTTGAACACGTCTTGGCGGCTCCTGATGACGTATCTCCTAGACAACGAGGGCGGGGCCAAAACATCAAGGCAAGGTTCCTTGGCACTGAAAAACACCCTAAGGGAGTTTCTTGGCCCCGCCCCGGTTGCCTAGGAGATACATCATCATGAAACGCCAAGACGTGTTCCAATGTTCATATTCTACCAAGGCATGTGTTCTCCATTTGTTAGCCATTTAGCTAGCTGAGTGAGGACACATGGGAGATGTCTTGTAGCCTAGCCTTGATCAAAAATTTCCCGGAACACACCGCAGTATTTTCAAAAGGATGGCGGATCTGAAGCCGGCAGCTACTTCGGGGACAATTTTCAAGTTTAAATGTAAGTCAACTCATTTAAAATGTTTCTTTTAAATCCAAAGAAGTTATCTATTGTTGGTTAGTAGCTTAGTAGTTGCAGCTTTGGTGGCTAGCGGGTAGTAACTCACTTATATATTTAATTTAACAAACATATACACAATTTAAAAAGTAAAAGGCTTGTTATATGTTTACATTGAAACTTATACGTCCAAAATATAATGTTATCTCCCGTGCCAAGTCACGTTACGTGACCGCCTGTGGAAGCCGCGTTCACGTGATGCAAGTCTGTTCCATTTAACCATTTTCTTTTACCAAGGAAGGACAGTGTCCTCGTAAGCAAGGCGCCTGGCCTCGCAAGACATCATCTCGCAATGCCAGGCACCTTGACATTGAGAAACACCGTTAGACCCGCTCCCGTGTATTTTAGACCCAATTTTTATGGTTATATGATATGAAACTGCAAATATTTTTCAACAACTGGGCATCATTTCATTTTCAACAACATTTTGATGGACTTTTTCAGAGATTAATGGTGAAAACTACACATTTTCTCTTTGGGCAGTTATGTTTTCTGTGTTGTCTTGGCCTTTTATATGTTTTTATTTACTGTTTTATTCATTGTTAATATTCACTCCTATTTATTTTAAATTTTTACACTGTTGTGAATAGGGATGGGTACCGAATTCGGTACTTTTTAAGGCACCGACCGAATTCCATAGTACCGACCGAGCACCTATTCATGTCATTTCAAACGGTGCCTCGTTTCGGTACCCGTCCTTCATAACGAGAACTTGCCAAGACAGCTGCGCATGTGCAAGAGCGTTATGTCGTCGCTCGCTGCGAGCCAGTTGTAAACAGAGCAGCATGGTAGAAAGCAGGCTAAAGCCTGGGTCCACTTCACTAAATGTGATGGGTAACTGGGTGATGATGAAACCAGTGACAACGATCTAAGTGAGACATCCTCATCTTAATCTGCTCCGGTAGGTAAATAAAATGTTTAAGATAACGTCAGCTTGATATGTTAGCTTCCGTTTCGCTAATGGTGCGTTCGCTTTCTCCTCGGAACTCCGATTTCCTGACTAGAAGAACATGAACACGCTCTAAAGTTTGGCTTCACTTTACTAAATGCGACGGGTGATCGGGTGAAGACGAAACCAGCGACAACGATCTAAGTGTGAGGCATCATTGTTTTAATCTGCTCCAGCAGCTAAATAAACTGTTTACGATAACGTTAGCTTGATTCAATTCAATTCAATTCAATTTTATTTATATAGCGCCAATTCACGACAACAGTCATCTCAAGGCACTTCACATAATAAAAAGATATGTTAGCGGCCATTACCACCATCGTTATCAGCTAATGGTGCATTCGCTTTCTCCTTGGAAATTCTAATTTCCCAGTAGGAAAAATCAAATGAAAAAAGACGGCAAAAGGAATGAAGATACACAGTAAATTTAGTTCACAGTAAAGATGTTTGCTTCAGTTTAATTATCAGCTTATAAAACTACAAGGACAATGTTAAAATACAAACAGTTGAATGTTATTTATCGTGATATTTATCAAATATTGTTATATATTGAGAAAAAAATATATTTAATTATAAAAGAGAATTAGAATAATAAACACTCAAAAGTATCAAAAATTGGTACCGTTAAGTACCGGTATCGATTCCTAGGTACCGGGAATTAGTACCGGATCGATTCAAATGTCAAAGGTACCCATCCCTAGTTGTGAAGCACTTTGTGGCTTATGCCTGTGAAAGGTGCTATACAAATAAAGATTACTTACTTACTTACTTTAAAGGTGTGGATCACTCATTTAATCAATACATTTGTAGTGATCTCTAGTAGGAATGAATTCCTTGTAAGTTATACTCTGGGAAACAAAGCTCCGGTGAACCAGTTTCAGGAACTAGAATTGAGCCACATCAGAGCTGAGGTTCAGACGACAGGATTTGGAGTCTTTTTTTCCTGAAATTTGGATATCTTGCTTCTGATTGGCTAACAGGAACACAACTCTACCACTGACTCAGTTAGCTCTACAACACTGATGTTTTATCTCCATAAATGCCACAAGGCTGGAGAAGTTGACTTGCTAATGCTAGTGGTTAGCTTGTACTAGCCAAGAAGTTCTCTGCTGTTTCCTGGGCACTAACCCAACAACAACCTTCCCTGTCGCAAGCCAAGATGGGTGAGTCCATTAATGTTATGTAGATCTGTCAGGCTTTTCAGGTTCTTTATTTTCACCATCTATTTTTTACCAGAAGCTAAAGCAAGAGATAGGTGTAGGAGACTATTTAATGTTCAGCCTGCATGAGAAACAGAACGACTGATTAAAATCAGAAATAATACTTAAAACATTTTTTTCAGTGTTCCACACCTTTAAATGCAATTAACACTCTTTCTCAAATCAAAATTCAAACCTGACCTCATGCATTGTTGCTCTTTTGTTGCATTTTTGTTGCAGCAGCAAGTTATAAATGCAAAACGAAGCTTTTAAATTAAATGTGAGATGCTCAGAAATGTATGCAGTGCAAACTCTATTTATTGATAACCACACATTTTTTTAAATAGCACAAGACACAAGGGATACACAGTGGGATCAGAACAATTGTTAGTTTACTATGAAATAATACAATTACATGGAAACACAGTACAGACCAGCTTATTAGGAACACTTTGGTTTTATTGACAATACTTTTACTGTTGAGTTGTTGGACATCCATATCTTTGGCTGTCTTGGTCTCTTAACTGAATCTGGCAATGCTTGGTAAGGGAATGTCAACCTCTATCTGTCTGTCACCTACTCTAATATATTGGTCAACACATTTGGTTTTTTCTTTGAGGACCTGGATGACACTAGTGTTGAAAATGGTGACGCGTTCTACAGATGATTCTGTCCAAGTCAGGATGTCTGTTCTAAGCTGTTCAGAAGTTGTGCTATCCACAATGCTGTAGAGTTGATTGGTCACAGAGGTTAGATATTTCATAATGATCCTGCAGAACTCATTAACCTGCCTGACAACATCTGCCAGGGCAGGGGAGTTCATGGCATCGCTGTACATTTCACTCAGAAACCTGGAGATGTTCTCTACATTTGGTGTTTTTAGATACTGGAGAAGCTTTTCGCCTTGCTCTGTGGTAAACTGCACAAACACAGAGTAATTCTTAATGAAATCCTCCAGCTGGATGGCCCCGAGTTTCCTCAGAGTAACAATCACCTGCTCTTGGATTTTGCTCAGAGTTACAGACAATTCATCAAGAATTTCTTTCCCACTGACAATGTGGTTAGAGCCAGGGAAGACAAATTCAATCTCTTTGAAGTGGTCAAGAGCTGGTGCGAACACAGAGGTGAAGTACTTTGGTATCTTTTCAACAGCCTCCTCAGAGAAGTCAGCAACAAAAGCGCTCAATTTCTGGTAGATTTCAAGTCCAGAGAGCTTCTGTTCATAACCGGGGATCTGGAACTTGGTCTGTTTCAGGAATGTGACAACAGCATCAAGAACACGTTTAACTTGCTTTTGGTACTCTCTGAGGATCACAATGGTCTTATCTGTGACAGCTGTCATAGCTTCAGAAGGATGATATGCAGCTAAGCTCTCAACAGCCTTCTTGAACATCGCTTTGCCCTGCCTTCTAGCCTTTTCAAACGAACCCTTGAGACCTCTAACGTGCTTGTTAAGTTTGTTGTATGTTCTGGCTGCAGGATCAGAAACCATTTCCATTACGGCAGGCACCTGTCTCTTCATTCCCAGCATCATCTCATATGGCATCTCCATATTCCAGGTGGTTTGAACGTTCAGCATTTTGGATTCAACCACAGACATCTTGAAACCGAGGATATCAGTGTCCGTTTGCTCCGACTGTTGAAACAAAAACATGACGTCAAAACAGAATTTATGAGGGGCAAATATACACTTAAGCGTTCTCTTACCGGGTAGCGACCGTAGAGTCTAGCTTTCACTTGTGCTGGCTGCATCGTCTGCATTTGAACAGCAATGAGTCCTGCAGATGGAGCAGACATGGAGACAACCAAGCCTTCTGCTGGATTTCCTTTCATTTCCTGCTTGATTTCCATACTCATTGAAGGCAGATTAACCTTTGCGGAGTTGGTGATTGATGCATCTACACTTTTAAAGCTCAAGACAATGGTGCTCTGGTGATTTCCTTCTAGCATGGAATGCTTCACAGACATAAGAGATGTCATTTGAAATTCACCCACTGTGTTCACTTTGGTGCTGCCTTCAATCTTTCCATTCAAAATTTCGAACTCAGACAAAGAGGAGGCCTCTAGTTTGACACTGATACCATCCTGGTTGAGGATGCTGGTATCGGCTTTGAGTGTGATCATTGATGTTTTAACAGAGAACTCATAGGTCAAATCCCCCATTACTGGAATCTGGATGTTCTGAATTTTGGGGAGGGTGATTTTTGGAATTGTCAGCTTACTGAGGGCAGATGGAACGTGCAGGGCAGGCATTGTGATGAGAGTGGCATCAGGCAGGGGAATTGTGAAGGAAGACAGCTCCACATTCATGACTGGAACTTTGTAGCCAGGAACAACAATGGTTTTTGGCAACTCAATGCTGTATTTGTCATACTCTGCCTTTGCTTTATCATAAGATGCAGCTAGAATAGCTGCAAACTTATCCTTACCAATGAGGGCCTTCTTATGCAGAGCCTTTGTGTTGGTATTAATGGAGTGAATGACTGGATCCAAATTAATGTTAATAGTGATCATCTCAGGGTTTTTCATGTACTTTAGTTTGGAGTTCATGTCAAATGTCTGCTGAGTTGTGGTCAGGAGGTAACCCAGGCCAGTGTCTTCCCACAGCGAATAGTCCTCTACTCTTGGTGTCTTCATGTCAACAAATGGCAAAGTCATTTCGGGAATAGTGATGGGTTTCTTCAGCACATCAAGATTAGCCTCCCCGGTGATTTGGGAATTTACAATAATTTCTCGTTCACCATTGTCCATGGAGAAAAAATGGGAATATTTGTACTGGTTGAATCTGGCCAGACCTGTCCAGCTTGCTTGGTGCACTTCGGAGTTCAGAGTGAAAGTGATGTCATTCTGGAGGTCGACTTTTCCAGAAAGCTTGAATGGAAGAAAAACTTTGGCATTTCCCTTGTTCTTGCTGTCAAACATGAGCTCTGTGGGTTTCATCAAAGCGAGGACAGAGCTGGAGAGTTTCCCTTCCACCTGACCGACCAGGTCTGCTTTGTGAGAGGCAGTGAGATCAATTTTCATGTCTTCGACTTTAGCTTGGAACTTGACCTCTGCAACACTGCCCTTGATGAAAGGTGTTTCAGTCTCCAGCTTGGCATCAATGATGACATGGCGGAAAATGCATATGTCAGCAATGACATTTTGATTCATCTTTAAGTGGTTGCCATTTGTTTCTCCAGTGAAAGTTACTTTGGCTGTGTGGAGGTCCATTTCCACACTGATGCCACTCGTGTGGGTTGCTTCATCTGACAAGTCCTGAATTTCATATTTTCCGTTGACCAGGTTTTTAACTGTGAGACGAATCATGCCATCTTCAAGGCCAAAGACGGTCTTTTGATTCATCATCCCATTGCTGAATGTGCTGAGGACTGGCATGTTGAGGGCCTGTTTGTAGGTAGTCTCCGTTGTGGCAGAAACACCATTTTCCACGGCGAGGAATGCATTGTTGACAAGTTCTCCATCATAGAGCTCAGTTGTTACTTTTGCAGTTGTTTCAGCAGAAGCTTGAGCCGAGAAGCCATAGAAATCCATGGTTCCCTTGTGGTCAAGCGTAAAGGACGACTGAAGCACATTAACGTTTTCAGAGATGGTCAGTCGTCTCATTTTGGGTACAGCGAAATGTGCTGAGGCATCAACAGTAAAATCAAGGACTTTCAAAGTGGATTTTGACAGTGAATTCAGATTTACTTTGAACTCTGGTGTGACTGATGTAGTTGTGGTGTTTTCCAGGTCAGCAGTGGTCTTCAGGTTGTAATGAGGGGAAGTAAGTTTGAATTCACCATAGAGTTTTCCAAAACAGGGAATCTTGGTCATCTCTGCCACATTCTCCCTCAGTTCCATAGTGAGTGTTTTATAGTCATAGGATTGAATTTTCTCAATCACAACCATTAAATATTCTCTTAGGTCATCAATCAGTGGTTTGAAGTCAAAGGAATAAAGCTCATTCAGACACTCTTTGACAGGCACCAAAGCTTTGTTCAGTAAGGGCTGGATGTCGATTGATCTAAAAGCTTCAAACATGTGCTGAATCTTCTCCCTGATCTGATATTCTTTCATGATTTTAACAATTTCATCCATGAAGGCCCCAATTATTTGCTCAACCTCATAGCTGGAGAGAAATTCTTCAATTTTGATATAAATCGCACTGAGCTTGTTGGAGATGTTATACTTCTTCATTGCAGCTCTGATGGTGTCCTTGATATACTTCAGCAGATTAACAACTTTGTCGATTGGGAGCTGGCGTGTCAGTTTGGTGATGTGCTTTTCCATAGAGGTCATGAACTGTTTAATGTCTTCAATGAAAAGGTTGAAGTCAAAATTATCAATGGCCTCTTTCAGTTCTGCTACTTTGTCCTGAAACCTGGCACGAATCTCATACTTGGCGTCAATGTCTCTCAACATCTCAGTGCTGTGGTTCATCAGCTTCATCATCATTGTCTTTATGTTGTCAATTGCTGCAGGCAGGTGCTCAATAAAAGGGATCTGGAGAAAGTGGCTGTTACTGTTCTTGTCATACTTCATAAATCCAGAGATGGCATAGTCTTGACTGGTCTCACTGAAAAGGGGGGTTGAGACTGCTCCTTTCATTTCAATACCCATTCTTTCTGCATTGTTATAGGCACTCATTTCTTCATTAAATGTGTGGTCATTTACTGTGGATTCCACCTTTAGTAAGACACTTTGCTCATGCAGGCTCAGCATGCTGTTAAACTTGTGGTCCATGTTGGTCCTGATAGTAGGCCTGCCTGACATTTCATGGCTGGATGAGGTTCTGTACTCAAATGACTGTGTGAACATTGTGGGTTCAGCTTTCATGAGGTATTTGCTATACAGCTCACCATTGTGCTTCCCATACAGAAACACTTCACCATTTGAGTTGAAGATGGCATCGATGTTGAGAGTGAAAGGTGCACCGTCCATTTTGACGGTACTGTCCAGGCGAAGAAGCGGTGAGTTAAAAGTTGCCATGTTGCTGTACTTCACAGTCAGACCGGCGACTTCCATGTCGGTGGCGTGCGTCATGTGAGATCCCAGGAGCTTTCCGTTGGTGTTGCACTTTGCAGACAGAATCATGTCAAGGAACTTGATTTCATAAGTGTGCTCGAGCTCTTCGTTCAAATAGACTCCCATCAGTTTTCCAGCCAGCTCCACGTTATAAGGTTCTGCCTTGAACTGGGCATTGTTCACAAAGTTGACTGCCATCACCTTCAGGTCGTTCTTCACAGCAGCTGAGACAGTAAAGTGATCCACGTTGACTGAGATGTCATGCATGTAAGAGTTGCTGCTGTCGAGGATGTTGTCGGTTTTGGATTGCAGGGTAAAAGATCTTAAAGTAAGAGACAGTGAATGTGCATTTTCAGTTTTCATCTCATAGAAAGATCCAGCCATGTTATTGGAGAAGACCAGGCCATTTTCATTCAGCCTGAGGTTCACGGTGTTCCTGCTGCTGATGTCAAACAGGTTACCCATGTACTTGCTGTTGAAATACACTTCTGTGCTTGCAAGCTTTCCCTCAACATTGAACTCTGCTTTGCTGTCTTGAATGGCTCCTTTTGTTGTGAGAGACAAAGTGGCACCTGAGGCGTCGACTCCGCCATGGACAATATTCTCAAACTTCACTGAGCGGTGCTGAGCAGTTGTTGTACAGCTGGTGGTCAAGCCATTTGTGGTCACTGACAAGGTTGCTTTGTGGGAAGTGAGGCTTGCAAAAAGTTTCACGGAGGCATCGGCGTTGATCTCTAAGCCTGAGGGATTGATCGCTCCGGTGAGCAAGGAGTATGCCCGGTTCTGAGTGTCATCAGCTTGGTTCTCTATTCTCAGTGCAGTCTGTCCTCCAGAGGTGGAGAACTCCATCTGGCTTCGAATGATCTTCTCATAGGCCTTGGTCACAGAGTCAGACAGGAAGGTGAATTTGACCTCCTTGTAGCCAAGATTAATCTTAGTGGTGTGCATGACGGGGTCGCAGTTCATATTGGTGGTTGATTCAAAGAGGAACTCATCATTTTCATAAGATGTCTTCATCTTGTTTACAAGCTTCAATGCATCAGAGTTCACCCTCAGTGTGCTCTCCATTTTTGCTTCTTTCTTGGCTGGTTCAATAGAGAAGGTGTTGAGGTAGGTGGTGGTGGCAACCATGGACCCAATGGTAACACTTCCATCTGTGTTAATGTCGCCAAAGAGCATGTTTGAGTCGAGGGTGTACTGGGTGGTGACTGTCAACGAGGTGTCCAGGCCCACAGGTTTAGCAGTAGCATAGATGTTGTAGCGACCTGTTGTCAGCACATTGTCTGTGACAGAAATGCTCTCCAGCACACTGAAACCTGTGTTGATGAGCATGTGCCTCAGGGATCCATCAAGTGTGACTTCAATTGTTTCCCTTTCGGTGTCTGTGATCTTGGTGCCTCCTATGAGACAGAGAAATAAGGAAAAAACAACATTAGAGTCCAACTGCATTTTGTTTCTTCTAAATGACAAACAAACATGTATTACTAAACAGAACGTGTTTTACCCTCAGCTGAGAAGGAGAGCAGTTTGATTGGACTTTCAGCCAACATGCTGAACTTGGCCACGTATTCAGGAGACTCTTTGGTGTTATTGCCGGCGGTAATAATCCCCTCCCAGTCGTAATAGTTGCTGTTGACCTTAGCAGACATCTCCATCAGCCCCATCAGAGGCAGGGTGAGATCATACTCAGAAGGGATGGTAAAACGTGGAACTTTGATCTTTTGTGGGGCAAGGTCCAGTCCCAGCTGAGGCACAGAAATGTGCGGAGAGGTGATGACAGGGGGCATCCTGAGCTCCTCTGAGGATTTTCCACCAAGAGGGAGAGGGATGGTCATCGTGAAGCTGTTCTGGTTGAACTGGTATCTGAGTGTGCTTTCACTGGTGAACACATAAAACCAAAGTGTTTTAAACTTGAAAAAGACTTTCTTGTGTATTTGATATATCCTTGTTTTAGTTTTCTAATACGTCCACCTCTTCAACAGTATCAGCACTTTCCTCTAAAACCTGTTCTTTTAAAAGGACTCTCTGTAAACCCCTAGTGGAGGATAAAAATACTACAGCTGGCAAGTGTCTATTTAATTTAGAAAGAAATAGAATTTTGTCACCATCATTTCACGTGTCAGGCTTTAAAGGGTTAAATGATTTACACGTTTGCTTTTATTAACAAACTCAAATATGCAGACGAAGGTGTACTTACAGATTCATGAATACGTTTTCAGGCACTGATGGCATTTTCATCGTTTCAACATAGTCCCTCATTTTGTTAACATAAGGAACATCAGCAGAGAGCTTCTCAATCCAGATGTTGCAGGCCTAACAAAACAGAAAGAACAATTAAAGGGATACTAGGCAGTTGTGCTTGCTTTTAGCACCCTCTAGCGTCCTTTATTAATTCTCTGTGGTTAAACTGAAAATTAAACCTATCTCTTCCCTGTGAGTTTGTCTTTTTAACACCTTAATTTAACTGCTGAAATGTCTCCTCAGCTTTTGTTAGATTTTAGAGGAGCGATTCATCACAAAATCAAACAAATTAGCTGTGTTCACTGTCTATAACATGCAGGAAACATGGCTTAAGTATACTCCAGCTCCACCGTGTCAGCTCCACTACACCCCCTCCACCTGTCTGATATTTGGGCCACAGGGGGTAAGTGGGGTCTGAGTAACAACCCTGTAAAGGGTAATTTTAGCACATGCATTTATATGAAATAATTGCAGAGTATCTCTTTAAAGTTTCTCAAAAAAAAATACAGCTGAGATGATGTTTTACTCACTTCCATGCCCTTGTTGAGAATGTGCCGTAGTTTCATGTCTGTCTTCACAACCTGCTTGTCCATGACTTCGTTCGCAATCTGCCCAAGTTGTGCCTGCAGAGCTTTGGTGTAGTGCACTGGCACCTTAGTGTCAGCATTCACGTTGGACGTCACGTGAACCTCTGCCTGCTCTTCACCTAAGATGTGGAAGATCCAACATTTTAATTCTGCATTCACTTTTAAGATTGGTCTCTACTGTAAAATAACTATACCATATTTGAAAGTGACTGCCTGAATGGAGGAGATCTCTGGGAGTTTCACATCACTCTTGATCTGCAAGGTGACTCCATCAGCTTTGGTCATTGTGGCGCTGAGAGTGGCATCAGTCCTGAGGGACGGCACCAAGAGCTGGACCTGCAGCATCCCATCATTCATGGCCTGAAGCCTTCAACGATGAGGTTAGTAAAGCAGTCAGTTTATGCATAAAGTAAAATTATAGCGCCTGATGGATTGTTTACTCACTTGGCGCGGCCAATCAGAGACAGCTGTGGCATGTTCTTGTTGGAGAACTCAAGAAAGATGGATTTGCCCTTTGAACTGCTGTCTGTCATGCCGATCTTCATTCCCGCCTCAATATCAACATCAGGAATCTGGATCTGAGTAGTCAAGACGTTTCTGTTCCTGTTGTATTTCATGGTGGCTGTAGCCTCTGTGGGCTGAGCGCCTGGAGTCACATAAAAATAACAAATAATCAAAACAACGATTGATGTGTCAACACAAAATACGTTGAGTATTAAAGATTGTGTATATTTTTATGCATTTAATATAAGCATGATGCTCGTACCCTCAGCCCTGAGGACCATCTTCAAAGAATCGACCTTCTGACGACCGTCCTTGCCTTCGCTGAGGAGCTTGTAGGCGATGGAGGCCGTGTACTCTGAGATTTTGTTAGTGGGTTCAATGTCAAAAGAAAACCTAAAACAACAACAAAAATCTGTTAGGGATTTATAACATTCTTCAGGGAAATGACGCAAAACTAAACAGAACTCACATTGTTTCTCCGGTTAAGGGGAAGTATGGAGAATTGGTCCTGTCTGGAGCTTCTGTGTAAAGCATGGTGGTGCAGTATTTCATTCCAGAGAAAAGAGGACTGCAGTTCGACCTGCTCACTGTGTGTGGGATCATTCTAGATTGTTCAGCACCTACAATCTCCAATTTGTTGCTGTAAAACAGAGAAAAAGCATCAACAAGAGTTTCATCTTCTACAAATTTGGAAGAAAATGCTTTGCAGTTCTCATTCAATGAACTCAAAGGATCTTTGCTTTCAAAACAAATCACATGCTTAGCATATTCCACATAAATAACAATAAATAAATAAAATTTTTTAGGGATTTTTACCTGATCCTGAAGAGTTTTGTGGTTTTCTTTGGAGCAGGGATAGAAAGCTTAACCTGGTTCTGCTCCATGGTGATCCTGGCCTCAAGGGAGCTTTCGTGGAACAAGTTGGTTTGCATCTCAACGGCCGAAACGACAAACTCGGGCATGTGGACACCCATCTTGGTCATGAACTCAACTCCAACAGATGGACTGAAGATCAGCTCCTTCCATGGATAAAAGATCACAAACATGACGTAAGGCCCGGTTTTATTCAATCACATACATCAAAAACAGTCATCTCAAAACTTCGCTTTGAGATAAAAAGATTAAGAACTTTACCATGTTTGGAGAAATCTGAATGCCTCCTTTTGCACCAGGAGCAAAAGTACCAGACAGAGCAAATGTCATTGGAAGACCAGATGCTGTCGGCAAGATGAACTTGTTGTCCATGAAGATGTAGTGCAGGAACATCTCATTGTCAGTGCTCGGCATGCTGTTGATGGAAAACTGAAAAAACACAACAAACAGTTTTTAAACTCTTTATTTGAAGAATTGAAAACCCTCAAAAATGATGAGGCATGCTTAGACTATGGATCTGTACCTTAGCATGACGCATGAAAGCATTGGCGTTCACGATAGCGTTTTCAACGATGAACCTCAGATCACTGCCCTTGATGTAACCAAGTTCAGCTCCCATGATTCTCAGGTAAGCCATGGCCTCTGGGGACTCCTTCCCCTGCAGATCTTTCAGCAGGTTATTGAAGCTACGGACAATTTCCTCCACCAGGTTTTCAGGAACCTTAGAAAAAGAGAGGGATCTCGTTAGCGGTTGGGTGACCGGCCAAACACTGAGAAGGCTAGAGTTTAAGATTTATGAGTTTCTACCTTTTGGTGTCCAGGTTTCCGTTGAACAACCCAGTTTTTCAGAAATTCTTTGATCTTTGGTGACATCTTGTCCTCAGCCCAGTACAGAGTTTTAGACACTGTATCAGGGAAGAAACCGTCCTGTCCAAACAAAGCCTCGATAGTCGGGTTGAAGCCTTTTCCTTCCATGCCAACCTACAAGAAAAAACAAACAACAAACCAACTTTTAGCTAAATTTAAACTGATCTGAATCCAGCACGGCAACTTTTCAAATCGTATTCATCTTCACACACCTCCCAAATATCCATGCTGTAGCCAAAAGCCTTCAGGGTCATTTCCAGCAGGACTTCTTTTGGCAGCTGGTTGCTGGGATCAAAAATGACATTGCCCTGAATGTCGGCCTGGCTGTTCTCATATGCCACACCGAGCTTGTAGTTGCGAGACTTGGTGGTGTAGTAGTCATGTGTGGCCACTTCAGTGTCCTGCAGGACGGCCATTATCTTCTGACCAAGTCTGGGCAAAAGCAAAGTATTTAGTCATGAAAGAACTAGACGGTATTTCAGTGAAATGAAAGGAAGAACTTGTAAGACTCACTTTTTGGTTTCTGAGTCAGTGGAGGAAATGATGTTGTAGACGTGAGAGGACACAAAAGCCTTGACCTGCACGTTCTGTTCCTGACTGAGAAAGTTCTTCACCATCTCAAAGTCACTGTCCTGGGGATCCTTCATCAGAATGAGGTAGGCTGCAAGGCGCTTCTGCACAGCGCCCTTCTGGTACTGGCTGACTTTTTGGAGATTGGTGCGAACCTGAATAACAAAAGTCCAAAACAATTCCTTAAATTCTGAGAACCTAACACAGTAAAACAGAAAAGCAGGAGAATGTATACGTGGATCAGGATTTTAGTTACCTCATCTGTCACAGACATGCGCCTGAAGGTCTGGATGGCAGCCAGCTGCACAGACAAAGTGGTCGCAGGTTGTCTCATGCACTTGATCAGGGTGTTCTTAATAGCTGGGTCAGCAGCCTCCATTGCATCTCCCATGTTTCCAACAACCTGGAAAGAATTGCAGATCAAAGTTAGTTTTTGCTCCATTTTAGTATTTTGAGATGTGTGTTCGCAGCGGATAACCCACCCTAAGGGTCAGGAAGGTCAGCTCTTTCTCTCCTGCGCAGTCAGTACCCAGCAGGGATGCCATGAACTCATAGACAGCTGTGATCTCTGGAGTGACGCCCTCAAATCTGTACAGTCTGAGGAAAATCAAAGACACAAATGATTAGCTAATCGTTTACAGAAAATTCCACACTTAAAAAAAACAAACTTCACTCACCTCCTAACTGCATTGCTCAGAGCATACATGATTGGTTTGCTCTGCTTGTATTGAGCCATTTCCAGTAAGTCTTTCACCAGCAGACGAGAGGGGTTTGATAGCATTCCCAAACCGTAGACGAAGACGTCGACATCCGTTGCCTCGTGGTCAAAACCCCGGAGGATCTTCAGAATGCCACTGGTGCATTCCGGGGTACCGCACTGAGCCAGAGCTTGCCATGTCAGAAGGCTGTCAATGTCCAGCATCTCTTCAGCAATGACGGTCAGGACGTCGGATTTCAGGCCACGGAGCTCAGACACCAGCTTGCGGAAGAGGCCAGCACGCTCCTCGCCCACAGAGGTCTCTGAGAGAGTGCTAAGCTTCTGCAGCATGGCTACAACAGCATCCTTGCTTTGCACTGGCAGCTTGTCATCAGCAACATCCATGGGGAGGTGCTTCAGGTTGGCTTCATCTGCACAGAATTACAGTTAAATCTATGCAAATGCTGCATGCTTGTAGACATGTTTGGGGAAGTTTTCATGTTGTTATCCAAACACAAAGAAACTTACTGTGGTTGAAAATTCTGTCATTGATCACAGAAGTCTCTCTCAGGGTCACAGTCTGCCTCACAACAGTTGAAATCCCATATTCGTTCCTTTTTTTTTACACAGGAAATGACTAAATTAAATAAAATGTACTCATTGGAATTCACATGTTTATTTACTTCCTCCTTTTAACGCCTACCTATGGGAGAAGGGGAGGAAGATGTGCTTCTCTGTGCAGGATCCACTGGTCATGTGCTTCTTCTGGTTGTCAAACTTGTAGTTACAGACCTGAGTGCTGCTAATCATCTTGGACAGAGGGTAGTTCTGAAGGTAGCGAGACAATGTGCACAGTTTTAAAGAAGATAAAGTGACTTTTGCATTGATGTTGAGGGATTTTAATGAATCTGCAAAAGTTTTCTTTGCATATCCTTTCATAGTTCATTTAGAGCCAAACTGGCCATCGCCTTAACGTGGTGCAAAGTTGCCGTTTGAGCTCTCACCATGCCAGAGATGAGGGCCAGAGGACTGGTGTCCTGTCTGCGAGCAACAAAGCGGTTACATTTGGACAGATCCCTGCTGACGGTCACATCCACAGCAATGTCTTCTCTGAAGTTGATGGAAAACTCAGTGGAGCACACTCCGTGGACAGTGGGCTGTAAAAGGACGAGAGGCTCTGTCAGTGCTTGAGTTGTTCCACCTCACAAACAACATTGCAAAAGTTTGACGTGCGACAGTTCATTCTGTCCTCTAAATTAGATAATCAATGGACCTGAATGATTAGGCCTTCCTGCTGCTTTATCGTGAGAGCAGGTGATGCTAATAGCGTGATAGCTTATCTGGGACTTTAACCTGTACATGAAGATCATCACTGGACGAACACGGAGGGGATTTATCGCCTCTGACTGGGGCCAGCTTATCTGCTCATTGTGCAACTTGTTTTTCTTTGCATGACTCCATCACAAACTGAAATGATCTCTATGCCTGGATTACTAATAAAAAAAGAAGAGGAGGTACCATTTCCTTGTTCTCCTCCATGTCCAGGTCAGGCACCATTAGAGCAGAGATGATTCCCCTCTTGATGTTCAAGATGTTGGTGGATTCATCATCCTCGGGAAACAGCTTGACTTCAGCCTTTCCTTCCACTGAAAGCTTCAAAGGATTCCTGGGAACAAAAAAGGATTTTTAATGCTGTGACACGAAAGAAATCCTTCTCAAACAGAATCCGGGATGACTCACTTGGCCATTGCAGCTTTGAAAGCCTCGCTTCCAGCAGCAGGACGGTATTTTGGGGTCCCGTCATCATCCACACCAGAGATCTCACTCACAGAGCAGTCCGTAGTGCGGAGAATGAAGCTACACATCTGGGGCACGTCAACTTCAACCTGAACATCACATTAAGCCTTTTAGTTTGTTCTGTTGTAAATAAAGTGCAATTTTCTTTTGCAGTAATAGTTGTGAGACTGACTGTGCAGGAGACTTTTGGACCGCTCTTGTCGTCTGAGGCTCCATTTACACCGTTTAAGGTCTCAGCTTCATAGTTGTACACAAAACGTCTCAAGTTCTTGAATCTTTTGGCCACTGAAAACAGTTCAAAGTGTCAGTTAGGTGCTGTTAAAACAACATACCTTTTATTTTTGATCCAGATCCTGAATGTTTTTTACTTTCATTTCTGATTTTCCAGAATAACATGTTTTAAAAATCCCCCAACTTTTAAACGCGGACATAATTTAATTTAATTTAATTTAATTTAATTTAATTTAATTTAATTTAATTTAATTTAATTTAATTTAATTTAATTTATTATTAATAGAGCAACCTACTTTCCTTACATGGTGTTATGCTTACCACCTCATAAAAAAATGGAAACTTTATTCCACTAAAAACTTGTCAGAATTTCTTAATGTATCTAAAAAAAAAAAATAAAAACATTTGATTCCAAATGATCATTTGTAAAGATTGTTTACAGAAAAAAAATCCTCATCTTTATTCTATTTTCTTCTATTTAGAGTGTGTTATAGACAGAAAAAGATATTTAAAATGTACTTTTCACTAGAAACAAATGTGACCATAAGTTTTCTGACCTGATAAGTTTTTTAAAAATATTTTGTTTAAAGAAAAATTATTTTTTAATTTGATTACATTTTTGAGGTTCTCAAAGTATGTAAAAACATCACAAAAGAACATCTTAAATTTCTGCGCTTTTTCTCCTGTTGTGTTAAATCTGTTATTCACATCATGTCATGATGAAAGAACAAAGAGATTCTTATAAAAAACAGCCACAGAAAAATTTAAAAAGCCAACTCACAAAAGCAACCTGGAGACTGTTCTTCATCTTGCTCTGTGAACAAGAATTTGTTTTAGAAAAGAGAAAATCTAACTTAAAATTAACAGAACATTCAAATCTTTGTAAATAAAAAGTACACAATTTTTGTTTCGTTTCTTTACCAAACATTGTCCTAAAATATTTCATCCAATCATGTAGGAATTTTCTATTCATATTTTCTCCAGATATTCAGCCACATCCTTAAATTCCCTTTGATAAATAAAAAAGTGGTACTCACGGGCGAGTGTGTGCGTGCCCAGAAGCAGCAAAACGCAGAGCTTGGTACCCCACATGATGGGATCTCAGCTCCGGAAGCTTGAGAGGAGTCTCCCTCTTTCTCTGAAGACTAATCCTCGTGCTTGTGTCTTCGTCCTTTTATAGACCTCCCGTCTTACTGTATATGACAGCTGGAACCTGCGGATAAGTTGCCCTGGTTCCAAAGTCCAAGCCGTCCTTGTGGCAGGCCAAAGGTAAGAAGACATGTCTGTCAGCACTGGGCGGGGGGTGCTCACCTCTGCTTCAATAGTTCAAGTCTTAGATTTTCATAATCTCATTAACAGAGAACAAATGAATAAATCCTAAAAAAATAAATCAAAATAAATCCGAAAAATCCTACAAAGAAAATAGTAGCCATGTTTCTTCATCTAAACAAAAAAGGAAGAAAAAATAAAACTGCAATCAGATCAGAGTCATATTATGACTAATGTACTGTATCATGTATCACTAACTTTTATTGCTTGTTTTGTTCAAAGCGCAGCACACAGATATTTTTATCGCACGTTTATTTCACGGTGATTTTGTTGCGAGGAACTTAACCATCACAAACTATGAGAATGGTTTAAAACTGAAATAAAAATTTGAAGGACCTCATTCAGCAGGTTTTGCTGCTCTTTGTTGGATGTTTCTGGGACAAAGGTTCCTGTTGTTTTAAAGAACGTGTTCACTTGTTTTTTTATTTTTCAATGCATTTGCGTTGTTTTCTAGTATAAATGAATGTCTCTTGAGCCAATAAATGTGGGAAAGCACTTGTGTTTCAGGAACTAGAAGTTAGCTGGAGCAGAGGTGAGCAGAACAGGAGTTTTTGGGAGTTTTATTTTTAATCTGGAAATAAAGATGATCGAATATCTCCAGTTATTTGGTCATCTTGCCTCTGACTGGTTAACAGCAACGCAACTCTACCACTGACCCTGTTTGCTTTGCAACATTGATGTTTCATCTCCACAGAAACACAAGCCTGAAGGAGTTCTGCCATGTTGTGGAGTTGCTAATGCCAACAGCTAGCTTCTACTAGCAGAGATGGGTTCTGATCTCTCCTGGATGCTAAACAAACTACAGCCTTACCTGTTAGGAACCAAGATGGGCGAGTCCATGAATGCTAATCTCAGTGTGACGTGAGATTAACTGGCTTTCCTAATCTTAGCGTTTCCCCGTCTACTTTCTATTGACAACCAATGAAGGAAATAGTGGTAGAAGACTTTTTTTCACATTTAGCCTGCACGTGTCTTGGTCACTCTATCCTGTCACAACAGTTTTAACCTGAATGGTACGGAACACTCGTATAATCAATACATTTCTGATGGTCTCTAGTAGCAATGAATGCCTTGTAAGACATACTCTGCGGGCAAAAACACCAATGCACCATTTCCAGGAAGTAGAAATGAGCCAGTAGCTGAGCTGCTGATGGCAGGTTTTGGAGTCTTATTTCTTGATATTTGGACATCTCGCCTTGGACTGGGTAACAGCAACCTGACTCTGCCGCTGACTTGCAACATTGATGTTTTATCTCCACAAATAACACAAGCCTGGAGGAGCTTCTGCTACGTGGTGGAGTTGCTAATGCTAACCATTGTCTTCTACTAACTGAGAAGTTCTCTGCTGTTTCCTGGACGCTAAACCAACAACAGGCTTTCTCGTCGTGGGTCAAGATGGGTGAATCCACGAATGTTAAGTGACAGTGTGACATAGATCTGTCAAGCTTTTCCTAGAGTTTCACCGTCTATTTTCTATCAGGTAAGCTAATGCAGGAGATAGGTGTAGGAGACTATTTTTATGTTCAGCCTGCATGAATAACTTAAATCTGTTTTTTTTTGGTGTTCCATAACTTCATTAGAACATATATCAGTGCTTCATCTTATATGTAACGAACCACTTCAATCAAGCATTTTTGATAACTGGTAATGAGTCTCTCAGTAAAACAAAAACAAACTCTGGTAGGTACAGAACTACAACTAGTCAGTTTTTCTAGGTATCTGGCTTGACAGCACACTTTCATTTGACATTCACATTAATTCATTACTTTCTAAAGTCAAGTCAAGAATTGGGTTTCCATCCTGCAAAGGCAAACCTTGGTCAAAATGGCAATCCTTCCCATCTTAGACTACGGTGACACCATTTATAGGACTGCTTACAAAAGACGTCTTCATAAACTCGATGTCATTTATTACTCAGCAATCCGTTTCCTCACTGGTGCCGCATTCACTACTCATCACTGTGATCTGTACTCGCTGGTTAACTGGCCATCACTCCATTCCCACAGGTTGTTACATTGGTATCAGTTCATATACAAAACAATCATCGGTAGAACCCCATCATATCTTCACTTATTACTCATCACTTCCAACAACCGGTGCAATTTACGTTCCAGTAACTTAATCACTATGGTTATTCCCAAAGCTTGCACCTCCTTTGGCCACTCCTCATTCCAGTTTGCTGCTTTCAACGATGTTTCTGTTGACTGTGCCTGCTTCTGAGTACTTAAAGATTGTTTTAAGTCTGTTTTGATTGTTTGTACATATGGTAATTGAGAACAGTCTTTATGTGTAACTGTTTTATCTTGTTTTGATCTTGTGTGTTTTACCTCACCCGCTTTTCTTTGATATAAAGCTAACTATGTGTCTGTTGCTGCTGCCTTTTGGACAATTACAGAAAGTGGTCCAGGTTCCAAAGCAATAAAGCAGTTCCAGACCATAACACTACCACCACCACACTGGACTAAATGTCTCTGAAACGCAGCATTAGTTTTGCAGCAGATGTAACAGGACACACCTCCCCCTTTTGTTTTGTTAGTCCAGAGAATAAATTCTGAATCTTTAGGGTAATTTAGATGTTCTTTGTTGTTTTGTTCTTAATGGTTAGCTTCTACTAGCTGAGACGTTCTCTGCTGTTTCCTGAACACTAAACTAACAACAGCTTCCTCGTCGTGAGTCAAAATGGGTGAGTCCACGAATGTTAAGCGGCAGTGTGACGCAGATCTACTGATCGTAGATTTTCTAATCCTAGAGTTTCAACGTCTATTTTCAATCAGGTAGCTAATGAAGGAGATAGGTGTAGGAGATTATTTTCATGTTCAGCCTGCATGAAAAACTTAGTGACTGATTATAATAGGGAATAAAATTTAAAAAAATGGATTTTCAGTGTGGGGGGACGGGTTCTGACTGTGGTCTGTGCTTTTGCACCAAACTACAGTTTAGACTACCCACCCTTTTTGGAGACCTTGGAGGGGGTGCTGGAAAGCGCTCCTTCCGGTGACTCCCTCGTTCTGCTGGGGGACTTTAACGCTCACTTGGGCAATGACAGTGAGACCTGGAGAGGTGTGGTTGGGAGGAACATTCTCCCTGATCTGAATTCGAGTGGTGCTTTTATATTGGACTTCTGTGCCAGTCATGGATTGTCCATAATGAACACCATGTTCAGACATAAAGGTGGCCATATGTGGCACCAGGATACCTTAGGCTGCAGCTCCATGATCGACTTTGTTGTTATTTCATCTGACCTGCGGCCGCATGTCTTGGACACTCGGGTGAAGAGAGGGGCGGAGCTGCCAACTGACCACTACCTGGTGGTGAGTTGGCTCAGAAGGTGGGGGAGGATGCCGGTCAGACCAGGCAGGCCCAAACGTATTGCGAGTGTCTGCTGGGAACGTCTGGCAGAGTCTCCTGTCAGAAGGATCTTCACTTCCCACCTCCGAAAGAACTTCCAAAATGTTCCGGGGGAGGCGGGGGACATTGAGTCTGAATGGGCCCTGTTCCGTGCCTCCTTTGTTGAGGCGGCCGACCAGAGCTGTGGTCGCAGGATCGTCGGTGCCTGTCGTGGTGGCAACCCTCGAACCCGCTGGTGGACACCGGCGGTTAAGGATGCTGTCAAGCTGAAGAAATAGTCCTATCAGGTCTTTTTGGCCTGTGGGACTCCAGAGGCAGCTGACGGGTACCGGCAGTCCAAACGGAACGCAGCTCAGGTGGTCGCCAAGGCAAAAACCCGGGCATGGGAGGAGTTTGGTGAGACCATGGAGCAAGACTTCCGTACGGCTTCGAGGAGATTCTGGTCCACCATGCGGCGCTTCGGGGGGGAAGGCAGTGCGCTGCCAACACTATCTATAGTGGGGACGGTGTGCTGCTGACCTCTACTCAGGACGTTGTGGATCGGTGGGCAGAATACTTCGAGGACCTCCTCAATCCCACTGACATGTCTTCCAGTGAGGAGGCAGAGTCTGGGGACTTTGGGTTGGACTCTCAAATCTCTGGTGCTGAGGTCACTGAGGTGGTTAAAAAGCTCCTCTGTTGCAAGGCTCCAGGGGTGGATGAGATCCGCCCGGAGTTCCTTGGGGCTCTGGATGTTGTGGGGCTGTGTTGGCTGACGCGGCTCTGCAATATCGCGTGGACATCGAGGGCAGTCCCACTGGACTGGCAGACCAGGATGGTGGTCCCCTTATTTAAACAGGGCGACTGCAGGGTGTGCTCCAACTACAGGGGGATCACACTCCTGAGCCTTCCTGGTAAGGTCTATTCCGGGGTTCTGGAGAGGAGGGTCCGCTGGATTGTTGAACCTCAGATTCAGGAGGAGCAATGTGGTTTTCGTCCTGGCCGTGGAACACTGGACCAGCTCTATACCCTTAGGGGGATCCTGGAGGGTGCGTGGGAATTTTCCCAACCAGTCTACATGTGTTTTGTGGATTTGGAGAAGGCGTTTGACCGTGTCCCTCGGGGGGCCCTGTGGGGGGTACTCCGGGAGTATGGGGTACCAGGCCCTCTGGTACTGGCTGTTAGGTCCCTGTATGACCGGTGTCAGAGCTTGGTCCGCATTGCCGGCAGTAAGTCGGGCTCATTCCCAGTGAGAGTTGGACTCCGCCAAGGCTGCCCTTTGTCACCGATTCTGTTCATAACCTTTATGGACAGGATTTCTAGGCACAGCCAAGGTGTGGAGGGCATCCATTTTGGTGGCCTGAGGATCAGGTCTCTGCTTTTTGCAGATGACGTGGTCCTGTTGGCTTCATCAGAACGTGATCTTCAGCTTTCGCTGGAGCGGTTCACAGCCGAGTGTGAAACAGCTGGGATGAGAATCAGCTTCTCTAAATCTGAGACCATGGTCTTGATTCGGAAAAGGGTAAAATG